GTCTTCATAGTCTTAAATTGTTTGGGGATTTTCTTTTGCTGCCAGTCTCTGAGTGCCATTGCCAACATTTATAATTTGAGGTGGTTATTTTTTCTTCATTAAAATTTTCAAATTTCCAATAAAAAAATAGACTTTATTATTTAGAGCAATTTTAGGTTCACAGCAGGTACAGAGATTCCTATATGGACCTATGCCTCCTCCAACTTTTCTTTTAAAATAGAAAGATCTGGCAAGATTTGGCAACAGTTCCCACATAGCAACATTAGCTTTGAGCTGAACCATATCTGTTCCCTTTGCTGGGCTACCTCTTCTCCATTTTACCAGTTTGCAGTCACTCCCTGCTGTACTAGAAGCAGCTGCCTTCATTCACGTGCATTATCTAACAATTAAAGGTATTTGAGATTAAAACTTCTTATAGAAGGAAATCACCTTAACTTGTTGCAATAAAAAATTCCAAGAATCTGCTCTACCTTAACTATTGAAGCTGCAGAAATCTACAAAATGTCAAAATTTTGACTCTGTAAATGAATGTTGAGCTCATAGTGAACTTTAAAATTATGTATATCAAACAGTCCCATAATTAAGTGAATTTTAATTTGATACATTTAATCATATAATCTATTTATAACCAGTGATTGAAAGTTATAATTCTGGAGTATATGACACAATAAAGCATGTTGCCATTTAAGAAAAAGTTTCCTAAATAAAATCATAACAGCTCAAGTGCTATCTAGTTAATTTCCGGTAGTATCAGTAAGTCCCTACCTAAAAAAAAAAGTTAGCCCTGGCCAGTTTGGCTCAGCGGTTAGAGCGTCGGCCTGCGGTCCAGAGAGACCCGGATTCGGTTCCCGCTAAGGCACGCACCTCGGTTGCAGTTTGTCCCCGGCCCTGGTTGGGTCGTGCGGGTGGCAACCACTCAGTGTCTCCCTTTCACGTTGATGGTTCTCTCTCTCTCTCTCTCTCTCTTCCCCCTCCCCCCTCCCCCCCTTCCTCTCACTCTATCTGAACAAAATATGGAAAAATTTCCTCGGGTGAGGATAAAAAAAAAAGTTACCGCCCTGGCCGGTTTGGCTCAGCGGTTGGAACGTCGGCCTGCGGTCCAGAGAGTCTCCCTGCAGACCAGAGAGTCTCCCAGGTTCTGTTCCGCTAGGGGCACCTACCAAAAAAAAAAGTTACCACACAGGCAGTCATTTCTTCTTTGTTAGTTAAATCCTGCCACATCCACTCCTGTCTAGGAACTCCTAAACTGTCTCTGTGCTCCTCCCCTAAGCCAAAACCCTGGTCATCCTGGTTCCCCTCAGTCTTTCATCCCTGTTACTCCTGGGTTCTAACTATTTTCTGTCTCCAGTCTGCTTCCCTTAATTTTTTTTTCTTCCCGTGGTTGACAGAGTAATCTTTTTACAGTTCGAATTCGGCCATGTCACTCCTTTCAGTAGTTTGCTAAGGCGCAGCCTCCTTAGTTTCAGGTCTGGTTTTCACAGAAGATGGTTGTGTGACTGATGGAAAGCCTCAACCGACAAAGGAGATGAAACGTTTCTTTAATGGCAAAGGATATGCAAACTATCAGATGTGGTATTTTTTGTATCTGAAGCTTTTCTAATGGTGTTTACTCTGTCTAGAATGTCCAGTTCATTTCCCCAATGTGCTTTCCTGAGTGTTAATTCTAATTTGACTTTTATATGTAGTTTAGATACGATTTTTTCCCAGAAGACCCCACTGTTACCTATGTTGGGATTCTTGGGTTCCCCAAGATAGAAATCGAGAGGAAATCCCAGAGAAATGTCCAGACAGTTTTTATTAAGCTTGTACTCCAGCACAAGGGAGGCGGCACAGAGGAAAGGAAGGGTCTCTGAACTGGCTGGGGGCTTTTTGAAAAAGATGCTTGCAGAATTTCCCATTTCAGGTTCTGGTAACTTCCTGTTCCAGCTGCTTTGTTTAATAATTCAGTCGGCACCAGTGCTGTGGGGGGCAAGCTGGCCCACTGCTCATTGCCGCCACCCTAGATGGGTTGTTCAGTGGTCAGACTTGAATCAACTTGCATGTGGGTTACTAGTTTAAGCAGGCAGTTGAGAAGGGATGTAGTTATTGTGTGTTTTTGAGTAGGGAGTGGAGGGGTGGTGGCATTTTTGCAGTTAGCCAACACCCATTATTTTCCTTTCCTGTGTCCAAGTCCCGCTGCTGTCTCACCACCACCCATACCTTTGTTTGATGAGGTGTTTTCTTCTGTGTTCCTAGGGCTCTGTTACCGGTGAGATGAGGAGATCTCGGTTCTTATTTTCTTGAAGGAAAAATTTCAGTCAAGAGACAAAGTGTAGAGAAGCAAGCAGGAATGTATTGCCCACAGCAGAAATATGCCCAGGACAGTGAGAGAAGGGCGAGCATAGAGGAAGCAGGAGAGCCAGGCAGGGCTGCTGTGGCTCACTGGGAAGTCAGGGAGAAGGGGGTCTTCCAGACAGGTCCAGGGGGCTGTCCTAGGATGAGCTGTCCCTGCCTCTCCCCTGGCTGCAAGTCTCATGGGGTCCCTTGGAGTTTAGAAGATGCATGCCTGGGGGGGGGGGGGGGGGGGGCGGGGAGGCTGTGGGCATGCTCCTGGGAAGGAGAAAGAGCGAAGGCTCCTTGGTACCTCTGGTTTCCGGGGTTTTAATGGCTGGGAGGTCTTAGGGGAGGATCAGTAGACTATTCTTCAGCTTTATGCTAATGTACCAAGATGAGTTTGATTCTCTTAATTTGTCTTTGGGTGTGGTTGGCTAATGGCACTAGTTAAATTTCTGTTATCTTTCTCTCTGAGTAGAGTGATTTAAGTTACAGTTGGCCCTCATTTATCACAGTTAATCAGTTCCAGACTCTACCACCATAAATGAATTTCCACGAAGTAGGATTCTTTATTTACTATACATATTTATCTTCTGGTTGGGAAGAAGTGCAAACCATTTACTCCCAAGTATTCCTGGTTTAGGGAAGATAGGATTTACTAGGTGACTGCAAACTGCTGTTTGACCATATGTCTTAGTTTCCCTATTCCACTTGTCCTGGAATTTTCCTAGCTTCTTACTCTTCTATAACAGCTCTTTTCACACCTCTGTCATTAGACTATGTGTTCTATAGAACACTGTTAAAAAATATTGTCACATAAGTGGTCCATGTTAAACAGATTTAGAAAACAAGCAAAATCAAGCATTTTACTTTAGAATTTCTCAAAGCCTTCCAAACCGAGCACTGAACCATTTATTTGAGGTGCTTATTTTTAATTTCTAGTTTCCTAATTTTTTATTTTTAAAACTGTCAGAGAGAGAAAGTGCTATTTTCTTTTGTTCTGAGAATTTTAATTTTACAAATTCAGTCTTTGTTCAGTTAACTATTTCTCTGAGTTCATAAAATTTGTGTGAAGTCCTAATATGGAATAGCATCTTGAGTCTCCTTATCTGTTTCTTCTCCTCAATCATAGCCCCATTCCATGGATGTCAGAGGGGAAATCTTACCAACAGCTATGATTTCTTCATAACTATCCAACCTAAATTTACATATTCTAGAGGCTAGGTTTTTATCAAAAGGCCAAAAAAGGAAGAAAATAAGAGGTTTTCTTTTTTTTTCCATTTTTTGTTCAGACAGAGTGGGAGGGAGAGAGAGGAAGAGAGAGAGAGAAACATTGACATGAAAGGGACACATCGAGGGGCTGCCACCTGCACGACCAACCAGGGCCAGGGACAAACTGCAACCGAGGTACCTGCCCTTAGCAGGAACCGAACCCAGGTCTCTCTGGACCGCAGGCCGCCGCTCCAACCGCTGAGCCAAACTGGCCAGGGCAAATAAGAGGTTTTCTAAAGCTATTTCTTAAAGCAATCAAAACAACAAAAAGTAAATTATGTAAATACTAGACCTCTTTCAAAGGTCATCATGCTTGAAAAAGTTTATGTTCATTTGAATATTAAGCTTTCTCTCAACCATAACTCATTAATACAACTTAACATTTTTTCCCTTTGGAAATATTATGAGTGTTAGTCAGAATGCCACATGAGATCCCAAAATTTGGTTTGTAAATTATAATTGTAATGTAGGTCTGCAAACTAACAATAAAATAAAATTCTTAATGTAGAATGTTCAAGGAAAAGGGACTTTAGTTGGCAACCATGTTAAGCTGCTAGTAATAAAGGTTCCCAAAATATGACTTACACAAAATTAAAGTTTGTTTAATTCAGTTTAACATTTCCATAGTCATCAAGAACCCACGCTACTTCTTTCTATCTGTTTAGTTCTCTCTAGCTTGGCTTCCATTCTCAGCGCCACGCATGGTCCAGCATAGCTGTTTGAAGTCTAGCTTTAGGTCAAGGCAGGAAGGGCAGATAGACTCAGCAGATTTTTTGTTCCCCTTTAAAATGCTTTCCTGGAAATTCTACCACCTCCCAACTTATTGGCTGTCACTTAAGTCTAGCAACAACCAGCTGTAAGAAAGACTTGAACATTACTATTCAGAATAAAATTAGGTTTCTCTTAGGAAGAAGGGGGTGGGAGGAGTATTTGTTTTTAGAAAACAGCCAACAGTTTCCATCATAAGACTGTAGGAGACATCTCATCCAGACTCTTAACTTTAAGTATAGCTGGTTAGTGGCAGAGTTGTAGTCAGAACCCAGATGTCCTGCTGATCGGTGTTAACTAGAGGGCTCACAAATGCTTCTACTTACTAATGGTGAATTAGATAAAGTGATAGTATGTCACTCTAGCATTATTACAAGGGTTACTCTTTGCCTTTTTACCTTAGCATTTATTCCCTCTCCCCAATACACTCTCTCACACTTGGATATTTCGGAATATTATTGCCTCTTACTTGATGAACCTTTCAATGATCATTTTTCCCTCAAGATAAAACTTACATTGGCCATCTAGATTCTGTGATTAAAATAAAAATAGTTTTAGTAGGCTCTAAAAGCATTTAACATTTGTCTTTAATATTAATGGTTTTATAATTTCAGGTACATTTTTTTCCCTCAAATTTTCTCTTACAGCATAGCTGAAATACAGAAAGACGTGGAATACAGGTTGCCATTCACTGTAAACAACCTGACAGTTAACATTAATATGTGAGTATTGTATCCTATTTTTCTGTGTAATATGACTAAAAAATAATAATTTTATTTTGTTTCTTAGCTATTATTGAAAGTAAACTGTTTAAAATGAACTTATTTTAAATATTCCCATTCCAGTAACTATAATTTATCAAACTTACACAATTTTGTGAAATTAATAGTTTGTTAAGACATCATTGTAATGTATATTGGTGTAAGAAAGAACTATAAAAGAGGAAATTCAATAAAAAGAAATAACGATAATGATTAGTACTGTAATCAATTTTATTGATTTGCACTAAAGTCTTAGTTGGAGGTAGGTTGAAAGAGGAGAATGATAATACACAATCAAAGGGATCATGTATAGAAGACCACTAGAGATATAGTCACCTTTACATCAGAAAGAAGTACTAGTTTTCAGAAACGTATACTACATCAACCAGAAAGTTCAAGACTAAATTTGATCGGCTGCTGATTTTTTTATTATTATTATTTTAATTTAATTTTTGTTACAGATGTTTCTCCTTTTTTACCCCATTGACACCCTCCTCCCCATTCCCCCCCACCCCATCCCCGGCTTTGTTGTCCATGTCCATTGGTTATGCGTACATGCATATAAGTTCTGTGGTTTATCTCTCCCCCCCACCACCACCCCCTCTTCTGAGGGTTGTCAGTCTGTACCCTACTTCCACGTCTCTGGGTCTACCCTATTCCTCAGACTGTTATGTTCATTATATTCCACAAATAAGTGAGATCATGTGGTATTTGTCTTTTTCTGCTTGGCTTGTTTTGCTATGATAATACTTTCCAGGTCCCTCCATGTCGTCTCAAAGGATAAGACATCTTTCTTTCTTACAGCTGCATAGTACTCCACTGTGTATATGTACCACAACTTTGTTATCCATTCGTCTACTGATGGACACTTGGGCTGTTTCCAGATCTTAGCTATTGTAAATAGTGCTGCTACGAACATGGGGGTATATAATATTCTTTCTGATTGGTGTTTCAGGCTTCCTAGGGTATATTCCTAGAAGTGGGATCACTGGGTCAAATGGCAGTTCAATTTTTAATTTTTTGAGGTAATACCATATTGTTTTCCATAGTGGTTGCACCAGTCTGCATTCCCACCAGCAGTGTACTAGAGTCCCCTTTTCTCCACACCCTCGCCAACGCTTGTTTGATGATTTGTTAATGGCGGCCATTCTGACAGGTGTGAGGTGATACCTCATTGTTGTTTTAATTTGCATCTCTCTGATGATTAGTGATGTTGAGCATTTCTTCATATATCTCTTAGCCATTTGTATGTCCTGTTTGGAGAGGTGTCTATTCAGCTCCTCTACCCATTTTTTAATCGGGTTCTTTGTCTTCCTTTTGTTGAGTTGTATGAGTACTATATATATTTTGGAAATTAATCCCTAATCTGATGTATCATTGGCAATGATGCTCTCCCATACAGTGGGTTGCCTTTCTATTTTGATGATGGTTTCTTTTGCTGTGCAGTAGCTCTTTAGTTCAATGTAGTCCCATGTGTTCAATTTTTCCTTTGTTTCTGTTGCCTTAGGTGATGTATCAGTGAAAATTCTGCTGCGTATGATGTTTGAAATTTTGTTGCCTACATTTTCTTCTAGGATTTTTATGGATTCACAGGTCACATTTAAGTCTTTTATCCATTTTGAGTTTATTTTTGTGTATGGTGTAAGTTGATGGTCTAGTTTTATTGTTTTGTATGTAGCTGTCCAATTTTCCTAGCACCATTTATTAAAGAGGCTGTCTTACTCCACTGTATAACTTGATAACCTTATAAACGTAAGGTTATCAAGTTATAAAGAGGAAGGTTGGACGAATTAAGTCCTTACTTCAGATTGCATTAGATGGCTGGCTTCTAGAGCCCATGTTTGGGTGAGGTAAAAAGGCACCTACCTTGAAGACAGGAACCCAGGCTTATTTATCTTCATATCCTCATTGCCTAGCATAGTGCCTGCACAGAGGAGGCCTTACTGCGTCCTACTCCAAGGGATAAATTAAAGCATGCCTGTATAACGGTGTCAAGCATAGCAGCTTTTTGAGTTTGAAGTATAGCAGCTTGTTGAGTTTTCAGTAGCAAATTGGGGCAAGTTATAGACCTGTAGGTAGTGAGAGCATAGTCAGGGTACAGACCCAGATGGCTGGGCTTCAGAGACCATTCATTGCCTTTTTCACCAAACTAGTTTAATATCTTCATCTGTATAAATTAGGTAGTTTTACTTCTCTTCAAATGTCCTATGTGCAGGTAAGTAGGAGAAGCCATCAAAGATCCAGTTTTCTTCTTGACATTGCGCCGACATAGAGTTTTCTGAGCTAATAGGGGAACAGAAGCAATTTAAAGGGACATGTTCTTCTGAGTTTTAGTGGAGATTTGGGAAACATAGTTTCATATCCAGTAAAATCCCATTTTTAAGACTTCACTTCCTAATCATAAAGTTGCAATAGTTCAAAAAAGGTTAAGATTTGTACTTTTTTATATTGAGAATTTACTGCTTTATTTTTGAAACCATGTGATTGACCTCAAAATTGGGAGAGAGGTGTTAATTGGGACATTTAGAAAAGAGCCATATGGAACTAAGGCATATGACAGCTTTAATGTTTCATTTCTAGTACTTTCATTTTTTCCACGTACTCTAAAAATTCAGTAGATAGTGAAATAATTCTTGGCCGCATTTCAAAAGTAAGAAAACTATACACAAAAATATGATATGGCCAGGCCTATAGTCTAATAAATAACCAGGCTGGGTTAGTATGGCTCACTGCTACAAATGCCTGATCTACTTTTTAGCTGAAATTTGTGTACTTTGCTATATTGTGTCTGAAAGCAATTGGCACGGTGTGAAGAATATTCTGTAATTCATGGTATCCGTGATCCACATTAAGAAGGTTTTACTCTGTGGAATTTCTTAACAATCTTATTGCCAAAGTGTATCCTTTTTGTATATTTTCAGTCATCTCAGCAACCATAAAAGAGCACTTATTACTGAATAATTAATCCAAATGAAAGTATGAAAATTTAACTTGCTTTTAACTAACTTTGTTTTAGGATTATTACTATGTAATGTAACATTTGTTGTCTTTGTTTTTGTTTTTCATCTGTTCTACCTTACCAGATTGCTCCCTCCACAATTTCCTCAGGAAAAACCAGTAATCAGTGTATATCCACCAATACGACATCATTTAATGGATAAACAAGGAGTATATGTTACCTCTCCATTAGTAAACAATGTATGTTTATAGTATATTTATTTCAAAGTAATATAAGAGTGTATTACTTTTCTACTAAATATTTTAGAAATCTAAAATGTACTTAAAATCTCATTTTGGAATCAGTAATTTTAAAAAAAAATCACTGTCTATGATAGTACTGATTCTAAGGTTGTTTTTCAGTGGTGAGTAACTGTTGATGTTAGAACTTTGGTTAACAGTGTATCTTTCATAGTTAGGAAGAAATAAAGTTCAGAACTGCCTTAAAGTTCTCAGGATACATTTATGCTTGATTAACATGAAGGATTGTAACTTAATGTACTCTCAGTATTTACCTTTGGACCTTCCATTTATTATAAATAGTGAAGCGTGGAAATATTCCAGCTCTATCATTGATTAAATAGACTTTTCACTTGATTTGTGGTATTGTTTGTATTGGAAACTACTATAAGTTGTGGATTGCTAATATGTTTATTTGACATAATATACTTTGCTTTTCGTTTAACTCCTGACTTGCAAAAGTAGATGTAATATTAAGTTTGAAAGTGAAGTTATCCTAATGAAAACCTATAATCTTTTTCCAAAAGTGATTTTAATCATTCTGTATTACTGCTGTTTTCAGTTTACAATGCACTCAGATCTTGGAAAAATTATTCAGAGTCTATTGGATGAGTTTTGGAAGAATCCTCCAGTTTTAGCTCCTACTTCAGCATTTTCATAGTAAGTATATTTATAATAAAAATGTTTGTATATATTTATTTTAATCAAAGTAATCAAAATATAGGTTAAAAATTCATGATGCTAAAAAGCACTCGTCTGTTTTTACATCCCCTTCTTTACTAAACACATTCATACTTTTCAGAGCTGCTTCTCTAATATTTACCTTATCTTTTTTTTTTTTTTTCTTACCGATTTTAGGAAAATAGAGGAAGGGGCAGAGAGAGAAAAAGAGAAAGAGAAACATTGATTTGTTCTACTTATTTATGCATTCATTGGTTGTCTCTTGTATGTGCCCTGACTGGGATCAAACCCACAAACTTGGAGTATCAAGACAACACTCTAACCAACTGAGCTACTCCTCTGGGGCTACCTTCATCTTAAGCAATAATATATGTATATACTGCTAACTCTTTATCCTGTCATTTTAGATATTATCTACTGACTCCTATTATGTGTATGTGCAGAATTTATACAAACATGTATAGAATTCAAAATATAATAGATTTTATGTATATACAAGGAAATGTGTACATGTAGTATTTTATTCCCTTTTTTTACACAAGTGGTAGCATACTATTACTTTGCCTTTTGTTGTTGTTGTTTTCTTTACCAAATGGTATGGTTTGGAGAGCTTCTGTGTTGGTATGTAAAGCACTTACTCATTTTTCCTTATGGCTGCAAAGGATTTGGTTTATGGATGTACCATAATTTATTTATGCAAGACTCTTCTTATTGATGGATAGTTCAGTTGTTTCCAATCATTCTTACAAGGCCCATCTTCATTGCCCTCAGTATTGCAGTGAATAACTTAAAAAATGTAACATACCCAAATGTAAGTATATTTGTTGGATATATTCTCAAAGTGGTATGCATACTTGTAATTTTGACAAAATTTTGCAGTATTGCTGTACAAAGTAGTAGTAGTGTAGTAACTTCTACTCCTATACATAATGTTTATTTCCCCATACCCTTTGCCAATAATAGAACATTATCAAAGTGGATCTTTGCCAGTTTTTAAGAAGAAAATGATATGATAGTATAATTTTAGTTGTGTTTATTTTACTCTAGTGAAATTGACCACCTTTTCCTATGATTCAGAGATGTTTTTCTTCCTTTTTCATAACCTGTATATTCTGCCCTGTTCTCCATTTTGCTATTAGGTTGTTAGTCCTTTGTCAGTTTTTGGAAACTCTTTATATATTAGGTCAATTATCCCTGTGACTGTGATATGAATTTCAGAACTTTGTGCCAGGAACCTGATCAAAGATCAAATGTATTTCTTATTATATGACAAATATAAGATGGAATGTATTTAGTTTTTAAAGCAAGCATATTTTTCTATCCTTTCTACAGTAGTGACTGACCATATAAACTTGTTGTATTAATTCAAATATTGGTATTTAGATAATTCTCTTCTGTGTTTAAGCCTGAATTACCCTAATTATTTTAGTCTGGGTCTCTCTGATTTTTTCTATGAGAAAAAAAGTGTTAAAAGTTAATTTTTTTAAATTTATAATTGACATATAATATATTAGTTTCAGGTGTACAAGATATATATGATATTTGTATCTTTGACAAAATGATCACCACAATAAATCTAGTTAACATCTGTTACCATACATAATTGTAAATACTTTTTTCTTGTGATGAGAATGTTTAATGTCTATTCTCTCAGCAACTCTAACATATGCAACATAGTATTATTAACTATAATTAACATGCTGTACATTATATCCCATGATTTATTTATTTTATAACTGGGAGTTTGTACACTTTGACCCCCTTCACCCATTTTATCCACTCCCATACTCCTGCCTCTGGAAACCACTGATCTCTTTGTATCTATGAGCTTGGTTTTTTTGTTTTGTTTTTTAATTCCACATATAAGTGAGTTCTTGCAGTATATGATTTATTAGACTTAGTATAATGCCTTCAGGGTCCGTTCATGTTGTCACAAATGGCAAGATGTCCTTTTTGTTTTATGGCTAAATATTTCATTGTATCAATATACCACATTTTCTTTATCCATCCATCTATTGATATACAATTAGGTTATTTCCTTATTTTGGCTATTGTAAATAATTCTGCAATGAACATGGGGTGCATATATCTTTTTGAGTTAATGTTTTTTATTTTCTTTGGATAAATACCCAGAAGTGGAATTGCTGGATCATGTGGTAGTTCTATTTTTAATTTTTTTGAGGACCCTCCATACTGTTTTCCACAGTGGCTGCATCAGTTTATATTACCAACAACAGTGCACAGGGTTCCCTTTTCTCCACATCCTCACCAACACTTGTTATTTCTTGTCTTATTAATAATAGACATTCTAACAGGTGTGAGGCAATATCTCATTGTGGTTTTGACTTGCATTTCCCTGATAGTGATGTTGAGCTTTTTGTCATGCACCTGTTAGCCATCTATATGTCTTGGGAAGAATGTCTATTAGGATCTTCTGCCTATTTTTAAATCATACTTTTTTTCTATTCTTTTTGTATTTTGGATATTAACTCCTTGTCAGATATATGGTTTGCAAATATTTTCTGCCATTCAGTAGGTTGCCTTTTCATTTTGTTGGTTTTCTTTCCTTCACAGAAAGTTTTTAGTTTGATGTAGTCTCATTTGTTTATTTTTGTTTTTGTTTCCTTTGCTTTTGGTGTCAGCCAAAAATAAATCATTGCCAAGACCAACGACAGGGAGTTTACTGCCTATGCTTTCTTGTAGGAGTTTCAGGGCTTCAATTCATTTTGAGTTAATATTTGTGTATGGTGTAAGATAGTGGTCTAGTTTCATTCTTTTGCATGTGGCTGTCTAGTTTCCCCAATACCATTTGTTGAAGAGACTGTCCTATATCCCCATTGTATATTCTTAGCTTCTTTTGTGGTAAATTAATTGACCATTTATATGTGGGTTTATTTATGGGCCCTCTGTTCTGTTTTGTTAAGCCAATACCATATTGTTTGATTTCTTTTTTTTTTTTTTTAAATCCTCACCCGAGGATATTTTTACATTTTTTGTACAGATAGAGTGGGAGGGAGAGAGAGGAAGGGAGAGAGAGTGAGAAACATCGACGTGAAGGGACACATCGAGTGGCTGCCACCCGCACGACCAACCAGGGCCGGGGACAAACTGCAACCGAAGTACGTGCCCTTAGCGAAAACCGAACCCGGGTCTCTCCGGACCGCAGGCCGACGCTCTAACCGCTGAGCCAAACTGGCCAGGGCCATACTGTTTGATTTCTGTAACTCTGTAATATAGCTTGAAGTCAGGGAGCATGATACCTTGAGCCTTGTTCTTCTTTCTCAAGATTGCTTTGACTTTTGGGGTCTTTCGTGATTATGTTCAAATTTTAGAACTGTTCTGTTTCGGTAAAAATGCCATTGGAATTTTGATAGGGATTGCATTGAGTCTGTAGATTAGTTTTGGAAGTAGTATAGACATTGTTAACAGTATTATCATTATTATTTATTATTTTAATTCTCACCCGAGGATATTTTTCCATCATCTTCAGATAGAGTGGGAGGGGAAGAGAGAGAGAGAGAGAGACATTGATGTTGAAAGAGAGACATTGATTGGCTGCTCCCTGCGCGACCCTGACTGGGGCTGGGGACCAACTGTCACCTGAGGTACATGCCCTTGACCGGAATCAAGCCTCAACTCTTTGGTCCAAGGGCCGACACTCTAACTGCTAAGCTATACCAGCCAGGGCAACAGTATTATTTTGTACAGTCCATGAACACAGGATCTAATTTCATTTATTTGTGTCTAATATAATTTATTTTGATACCTTATTATTTTGAGTGTACGGGTTTTTCACCTTCTTGTTTAAATTTATTACTAGGTTTTTAATTTTTATTTTTGATGCAGTTGTAAGTGGAATCATTTTCTTTATTTCCTTTTTGCAGATAATTTGTTGTTGGCATATAAAATGCAGCGAATTTCTGTACATTGATTCTGTATCTTGCAATTGAATTCACTGATTAAATCAAACTGCTTTTGGTAGATTCTTTTTTCTTTTTTTTCTTTATTGATTTGAGACAGAGGAAGGGAGAGGAGGGAGTGAAAGATAGAAACGTTGATTGGCCACCTCCTGCATGCCCCTACTGGGGATTTAGCCCACAACCTGGGCATGTGATTTTGAGTCTGTGTATGTCCTTCCATCTAAAGTGAATCTTTTGTAGGCAGTATATATGTGGTTCTTAATTTATTCATTTAGCCACTCTGACTTGATTGGAGAACTTAGTCCATTTACATTTCAAGTAATTATTGATAGGTATGTACTTATTGCCATTTTGTTCATTGTTTTCTGACTGTTGGGGCTTCCTCTCTGTCTTCTTTCTTTCTCTTACTTTCTTTCATTATAGTTTGATGAATTTCTTTAGTGGTATGCTAGATTGTTTTATCTTTTGTGTACTCACTATAAGTTTTTGCTATGACTTCCATGATGCTTACATATAACAAGTTATATTTATTCCAGCCTATTTTATGTTGTTCTAATTTAAGTTTGAACGCTTTTTAAAGCTCTTTATTTTAACCTCTTTCCTCCACCCCATGTTTTATCTTTTTGATGTCATGTTATATCTTTTTTTTTTATCCTCACCCGAGGACATTTTCCATTTTTTGTTCAGATAGAGTGGGAAGGAGAGAGGGAGAGGGGGAGGGGGGGGGAGAGAGAGAGAGAGACAGAGACAGAGAGACAGAGACATCGACGTGAAAGGGACACGTTGAGTGGCTGCCACCCGCACGACCAACCAGGGCCAGGGACAAACTGCAACCAAGGTACGCGCCCTTAGTGGGAACTGAACCCGGGTCTCTCTGGACCACAGGCCGATGCTCTAACCGCTGAGCCAAACCGGCCAGGGCTGTTAATATCTTTTTATCTTGTATCCTTTAGTTATTGTAGTTATAGTTGTTTTCAGCCTTTTGTCTTTTAACCTTCATACTGGCTTATAATCCACTAACTTTACTATATATTTACATTTACCAGTGAGATTTATATTTTCTAGTGACTGATTTGTACTCTTTTCAGCTTAATGTTTCTGTAATCATTTCTAGTAAGGCAATTTTAGTGATGATGAACTTTAATTTTTGTCTGTAAAACTCTCTCTCCTTTGGAAGTTTTGTTCTTTGAGCACTTTGAATATGTCTTGCAAGTCCCCTCTGGCTGCACAGTTCCTGCTGAAAAATCTGAGTCTTATGAGGGTTCCCTTAACAAATCCAGCTGTTTTTTGCTTGCTGTTTTTCAGATCATTTTACTTGTCTTTTACTTTTTATGTTTTAATAGTGGTATGCCTTGCTGTGGGTCTCTTTGGGTTCATCTTATTTGTAATTCTCTGGGCTTTCTGGATCTTTGAGTCTGTCTCCTTCCCCAGGTTACAGAAATTTTCAACCATTATTTTAATTATTAATTTATTTATTTTTACCTCTTTCTCTTCATTGTAGGACCCCGATAAGGCTAATGTTAGTTTGCTCATTGTCACATAGATCCCTTAAGTTGTCTTCCTTTGTCAGTGTAAGAATGTCCAAACCTATAGAAAACTTTTGTAAGAGTTTTTGTGAGCCAAACAGATGACATGACAAAAAGCAAGATCTCAAAAAGCAAGTCACTCTTGAGAATGACCATTTTACAGTTCTTTTCATGCAGTTGGCATTAAGGAGGGAGCATGAGGAAGATCACGTGAGAGCAGGGAAAGGCCAGGCCAGGGAACGCCTGTGATTGGGTTATAGAAGGGAGGGAGTCCAGGTCCTCCAATGTCCCCATTCTGAACTAGAACCGTATTGTTATCTTTGTATTTTAACATTTTTAGCAACTCATCTGTACATTCAATTTTTCTTTAAAACTTTCTAGAAAATCAGTCATGACTTTAAATCATATTTGGTCAAATATATTGAAAGTTACTAAGCAACTGCCACTTTGAATAAATTTTCTGGGTTAAACGTTATTCACCATTCTCTCTATGAAGATATTGACTGATGCTAGTGGAATGCTCAAAATTCAAATATGGCCTGTCTGTTCACTCCAACTGACAAGTTGAATTGTATGTTTTCTTGTTTTGTTTTGTTTTTTTTTATCCTCACCGAGGACATTTTTCGATATTTTGTTCAGATAGAGAGAGAGAGAGAGAGAAACATCGACGTGAAACCGACACATCGAGTGGTTGCCACCCACGCGACCCAACCAGGGCTGGGGACAAAATGCAACCAAGGTACGTGCCCTTAGCGGGAACCGAACCCGGGTCTCTCCGGACCACAGGCCGTCGCTCTAACCGCTGAGCCAAACCAGCCAGGGCGAATTGTATGTTTTCTTAAACATTTTTCTTTTTCATAGAAATAAAAATTTTCTTTTTGGTGGGTTCATATTTTATCAATTTATATAATATTTAATCTAATTACAAAACTATTGTCACCTGCTATAATCAGATTCCATTTACAACATATGACCACTGTTACTTGAGAATATAGGAATAATTTTACAAATTACTCCTAAATTCTAATCTAATGTTTCTCTTTCTCTTTAGCCTCTACAGTAACCCAGGTGGAATGCCTCCTTATGCTTCTCAGGGTTTTTCATTTCTTCCTCCATATTCCCCACAAGAAGCTAACAGGACTATCAGTTCTTTATCTGTTGCTGACACTGTTTCTTCATCAACGACAAGTTACACAACAGCCAAACCTGCTGCTCCTTCATTTGGTGTCCTTTCAAGTCTGCCGTTACCTGTTCCCACCACAGACGCTTCAGCACAGGTTGTTATCTTCAGTTACCTATATTTTATACCCTTGAAACATTAATTTAATTAACAGACACTTATTATATGTCTTCGTATGCCAGCCACTAAGTGAGGCACAAAAGATAAAAAAAATTAATTCCCATTTTCAACTCACTTAACAAATTCAGAGAGGTCACTCACACATAATCAAATAACTGTAAATAAGTAACTTCCAATAGAGTAGAAGATATAGTCTGGAGTTAGAGTGAAGACACAGTTGAGGGAATGTTTAATGTTCCCAAGGACCAAGGTAGAACTAGAAGGAAATGTGATTCAGTTTTTTTTCACTACTTTATCCTTAAGCGCCTCAAACCTGCCTGATAGATATTAGGTGCTCAGTTAAAATGAGGCAGATGAATGAGTGAGTGGATTTATGCTTGAAGCCGTATTTTGATACATGATAATGAATGTGCCAGGATGACAAGTGGTTACATAAAGCATTCTGTGAAGAGGCAGCAGCATTAACAAAGGTATGGAGACATAAACCAGATAGTGTATTTGTGAAGCTGCCTATAAAAGATCTCTCCGGCTGTCATATAGGACTTAAGCAAAAGCACAAGAAATGATCATGTAGGAGAAGCAGATTGTGGAGCGTCTGCCATAGCATACCAAGGGCTTCAGGTGTCCCATTGGTTTAAAAAATTTCGTGTTTCTAATTAAGCTGGTAACTGTTGCCATGTGGGATATTACTAAAGTAGAGACTAATATTTGTGCATAAAACATATACAAAGGGATTTAAAACCTTCATTTTTAACGCTTAGTGAATATCACCCACAATAATACTCAAATATTATAAAACCTTTTATATCCAACTTTTCTCGTTTTACTGTTTGTAATAATTTTAAATATATACCCAAGTAGACTTTGTTTTCCAAAATCTTTTATCACTGTATTAATGAATATTATGAACAAACTCATGGCTTCCATTTTAAAAAGTAATGTATATTCAAACAATGGATACCCTATTCCTTATCTACCCTTCTGTCTCATCAAACTTAGTTATGTAACTATTCAGACTTTTGTCAACTTACTAATGTTCTCCTATACTTAATTCCTTTCATTTGAGGTAAATGTATTCATATATTTCAATGAAATCCACAGAGATGTCTCCACACTTATCACAGATATACTTAAGTGATTTATTTTAAACCCTGTACTTGCCTGAGAAAGAGAGTTAACAAGGTACTCACATAATCCTCTTAGATCTCAAAAAATTAGTAACCTCATATCTATAAAAGTACAGCGAAAACAATGCAGTAAAGAAGGTGGGGAGAGCCTGGACCGTGCAGAGTGCGAAGGTGAGGATGTGCTATGAAACAGGAGCAGTCAGATGGCTGAAGTGTAACACCATTTCGAACTCTCTTTAGATAAGTCAGAATGATTTGGGTTACAAGATGCCAGATGTCCCTGATGCATTTCCAGAACTCTCAGAACTAAGGTAAAAATTTTGTAAAATGACATTGACATTTGCTGTCTGTCTTATTTGTAAATACAAACCAGATCATCATTGTCACATCCATATTAAACAAAAATATTTTTTAAATCCTCAGTATTTCTAAATTATGGTTGTCTTAGTGGGGAAGTTTTATAAATCAGTTTTTATGTCTTGTAGGTTGTATTTATTGAGTGAGTAGTATGTCACCCAGGGATTTTTCTACACGTTGGGAATGATACAACAGTTACCAGGATAGCAATGTCCTCTCTCGTGTATGGCTTACATTCTTGTGAAAATTATTTCCAAAAATATCTTGGCCTATTTTAGACCTTTCCATCGTCCCTTTAGTAGATAGAAGTTTGTACAAACTTTTATTTTTCTGTAGAAAAATAGATTAAAGTTCTCATAAAGTAATAGGAAGGTATTTTTACAGAACCAAATTTTATTCAATTAAAAAAATTTTTTTTTTCTTTATTGCTCTTGGAGAGGAAAGGAGAGGGATAGAGAGAGAAAAAAATTGATGAGAGAGAACATCAATTGGCCACCTCCTGCATGCCCCCCACTGAGGATTGGGCCCACAACCTGGGCATGTGCCCTGACCGGGAATTGAACCTGTGACCTCTTGGTGCATGGGTCAACTCTCAACCACTGAGCCACACCAGCTGGGCTTATTCAATTTTGTGGGAAACAACATTTGTAATACTCAAGTTTAAGGTAAACCATTTTTATGGAACCCTTCAAAAAAGCATGTTTTATGGCCACTCAACTTTGGGAAGCATTGCATCCTTTATACCCCCATTGAAGGTTCACAATACTCATAAAGCTGTTATTATTAAGATTACCAAGCAGTTAAAAATTTTTTGCAGTGTTTTTTGCCTTTAAAATATATCCACCAGGGGTGTATAGCCAAATACCCGTGAGAAATCTTAGTTAAGAAAGAAAAGGTGAGCTTTATTTGACCCAGTGTTTTGCTATCATTTTTAGGAAATAGTGACATTATTTTCTGCTATTATAGTTGTAAATTAATGAAAGTTTGCAATATATCACATACATGTTAAAGGTTTATATGCATTGTAATGCTTCCTTGCTACAACTCCATGAAGTAGGTACTATTATTGTTTTTTACATTATAAAGGCTTTTTTTTTTTCCTTCCTTTTTAAAACAATCACTATGAAAATATCAAAAATACAAAAAGGTGAAACTCATTGCTTGACTTGCTTCATGTACCCCTCTTCCAGCTTTACTTTTGGGAAATATGGGTAGGGTTCATGATTATTTAATTTAATTTTTATTTTTTTTATCCTCACCCGAGGACATTTTTGCATTTTTATTTTCAGATAGAGAGAGAAACATTGACGTGAGAGAGACACATTGACTGGTTGCCATCTGCATGACCCCAACCAGGACTGGGGACAAACTGCAACTGAGGTACATGCCCTTAGCAGGAACCAAACCTGGAACTCTGGTCCATGGGCTAACGTTCTAACCACTGAGAAAAACTGGCTAGGGCATTCAGGATTATTTTAAACCAAATCCCAAATATTACATCATTTTTACCCATAATTTCTTCACTAAATATCTCCACCAGGTAAGGACTTCTTCTTTGCTATAAGCCAGTCCACATCATCATCATACTAACAAAATTAATGGTAATTCTTTAATATCTAATTTCCCCAGGGTCTTAATAATCACATCTTTTTATTTTATTTTTTTTAAGGACTCTTTATTTAATGTTTTTATTGATTTTAGAGAGAGAGGAAAGGGGGGGAGAAACATCAATGTGAGAAACATTTATTGGCTCTTCAAACACACTCCCTACTGGGGATCAGGCTAGCAGCCAGTCATGTGCCCTGACCGGCCGTCGAACCCAGGATCTCTTGATGCATGGGACTGATGCTCAACCAACTGAGCTACACTGGCCAGGGCTAATCATGTCTTTTTATTGGTAGCTTCTTTGAGTCAGGATTCAAAGCAGAGTCTACCTATTACATTTCAGTACTTTATCTCTTATGTAGGTATTTTGTTTTTTTTTAAATATGTTTTTATTGATTTTTTTTAGAGAGAGAGAAACACTGATTTAAGAGATGGGTTGGTTGCCTCTTGCACGCCCCCTACTGGGGATTGAGCTAGAAACCCGGGCATGTGCCCTGACAGGGAATCGAATCTGGACCTCTTAGTCCATGGGATGACACTCAACCAATGAGTCACACTGGTCGGGCCCTTATGTTTCTTTCAATGGTGTACCATTTCTTTCCATCTTTATTAATATATGCACACACATATACATGTATCTACACACATTTGTACACACATGCATATATACATAAATATAAATACATATATATAAATTAGACACGTTTTGCTATTGTGTGTTATTGAAGAAATTGGTTAGTCCTGTAGGAATCCTCATATCCTGGTTTGTTTGTTTTTTTTGTGGTACCTTTGAAGATGTTCCTCTATTTCCCATTTTTTCTTCTTTTGGTGGCTATAGCTAGAGTTTGATTAGATTTTGATTCAATTTTTATCAGATTGTGTTGTATACCATAATTTGCACAATGTCACATGTCGATTATATCTGAATAAAGCTGAAAAAATATTTTAAATATTTGTATTGATTATTTTAGAGAGAGAGATAGAAACATCAATGTGAGGGAGAAACATCCATTGGCTGCCTCTTGCACACCTTCTACTGGGGATTGAGCCTGAAACCCGGGCCTGTGAACTGACCAGGAATCGAACCAGGACCTCTCAGTCCATGGGACAGTGCTCAATCCACTGAGCCACCCTGGCTGGGCAAGCTGAAAAAATATTTTAAATATTTGTATTGATTATTTTAGAGAGAGAGATAGAAACATCAATGTGAGGGAGAAACATCCATTGGCTGCCTCTTGCACACCTTGTACTGGGGATTGAGCCTGAAACCCGGGCCTGTGAACTGACCAGGAATCGAACCAGGACCTCTCAGTCCATGGGACAATGCTCAGTCCACTGAGCCACCCTGGCTGGGCAAGCTGAAAAAATATTTAGGTTAAAGTCTTTTGTCAAGAATACTTACATCGCCCTGGCCAGTTTGGCTCAGCGGTTAGAGCGTCGGCCTGCGGTCCGGAGAGACCCGGGTTCGGTTCCCGCTAAGGGCACGTACTTCGATTGCAGTTTGTCCCCGGCCCTGGTTGGTCGTGCGGGTGGCAGCCACTCGATGTGTCCCTTCACGTCGATGTTTCTCACTCTCTCTCCCTTCCTCTCTCTCCCTCCCACTCTATCTGTACAAAAAAAAAAAAAAAAAAGAATACTTACATCATAATTAGTGCCCACTTTCTATTCACATAAGGCAGCAGTGAGGTTCAATTGTCCTATTTTTAGTGACATTAGGGTAGAAACATGTTGAAACAGCTGAAATCATTGCCTATTCATTATGTCATTAAGGGTTTCAAATGTGATTTCTTACTGCAGAATTCTATGATGAAGAACTTTGCTAAATCAACTATTTAGCTTTATTGCAATACATTTTGTACAGGAAAGGCAAGATAAATGCTATTTGTTCTTTTTTCCTCTTATCAAAATTCAAAATCATGAGTTGATGCATAAGCCACCTCCAAAGGTTCTGATAGGCGAAGTTTTTTGTTTGTTTTTGTGTTACTAAGAATGCATACATTTTAAAAAATATATTTGATTGTTTCAGTCCATTGCTGTCACTATTCTTTTTGATAACAGTCCTATCTTTAGTCAATAGGAAACTCTTCAAGTTGGCTTCTGTATCTTTCTGGCAAAACAAAGGTGCCATGAACATTTTCAGTGACCTAAGTTAGCCATTTCTCTGAAACCTACTTGTTCTTTTTCAAAAGATGCCAGAATTACTGTTGTACTTTGGGAAAACAAACTGTTAGGTGCTCAGAGCAGTTGGCAGAAGACAGAGCTTGTAATAAACGGAAGAATGGGGAGGGATAGTTTCAACGAAAAGATGAGACTTCCAAAGGAGGCAGAATCTAAGAGAACAATGTCTGACGTAATAACCAGGAGTTTATTGATGAAGTTCACTGGAATTGTTTCTTAGGATCTTTTTTTGGAGTATAGGTCATTATGTTGGCAATTTATCTGCAGTTTGAAGATTGTGATTTTAATGGCAGACTCTCAAATTGATATAAATTCTCTGCAATTGTAGTTTTTCTGTGGTTGGTAGGAACTCAATAAATGTTGGAATCATTCATTCAATTAATTTAATATGTTCAATAAATCTTTACTAAATGTCAAAAAAATACCAATACCAATAGTATCACTATAAATATTGAATGCAGGATAAGTTTGTATTTGTTTTGTTCCTTACACTTCTTTTGTCTTTATAATATCCCACACCAGAGATGCACAGCCAAATACTATTTTTAAAAGTCTCTTCAAATATTTTACTGGATGATTATGTAACTTAGAAAAAAGTTTGCTTTGAATTTTAGAGACAACTTTTTTCTATAATATTTAATTTTGATTTTTTTTTTATCCTCCCAGAGGACATTTTTTGATATTTTGTTCAGATAGAGTGGGAGAGAGAGAGAGAAACATCGACGTGAAAGGGACACATCGAGTGGCTGCCAACCACAAGGCCTAACAAGAGCCGGGGACAAACTGCAACCGAGGTACGTGCCCTTAGCGGGAACCGAACCCGGGTCTCTCCGGACCACAGGCCGATGCTCTACCCATTAAGCCAAACTGGCCAGGGCTAATTTTGATTTTTAACTATACATTGCTTTCATATGGATCTGTAGCCAAAACTAAAAGGTAGCCCTGGCCGGTTTGGCTCAGTGGTTGGAGCATCGGCCTGTGGTCCGGAGAGACCCGGGTTCGGTTCCCGTTAAAGGCACGTACCTCGGTTGCAGTTTGTCCCGGCCCTGGTTGGGTCGTGTGGGTGGCAGCCACTCGATGTGTCCCTTTCACGTTGATGTTTCTCTCTCTCTCTCTCCCACTCTATCTGAACAAAATATCGAAAGATGTCCTCGGGTGAGGATAAAAAAAACCCCAAAACTAAAAGGTATGTTCAGAGCCCTGGCCGGTTTGGCTCAGCGGTTAGAGTGTCAGCCTGTGGTCCGGAGAGACCCGGGTTCATTCCCACTAAGGGCACGTACCTTGGTTGCAGTTTGTCCCCAGCCCTGATTGGGTCGTGTGGGTGGCGACCACTCGATGTGTCCCTTTCACATCGATATTTTTCTCTCTTTCTCTCCCTCCCGCTCTATCTGAACAAAATATCAAAAAATGTCCTCGGGTGAGGATAAAAAAAAAAAGGTATGTTCAGAAAGGTTTAGATTCCATCCCTATCTAGTTGCCTCTTTCACCCTGTGGATATTGAGTTTTGATTTTGGTTTAGCTTTCTATGCTTACACACATACACATACATCTACAAACCTTTTATTGTGACAACCACATACCCATTAGCTAAATAGACATAGGTGAAAGTTGGGAGGTTGTTATGGCTGTTCATGTATCCAAGTTGTCATAGTCCTACAGTGATTTTTACACTACATTCCGACTACTTGATATTCCATGTGATTTATGTTTTATTTGTTTTTAAGGTTATAATTTGTTGTGTGTGTGTATGTGTGTTTCAAAAATTATTTAGAATCCTGATAGAAGTGAGAAGTCATGAATATTTATCATAGTAGAGAAAATCTAGATTACTGATATTCATCAACACATTTTCTGTTCTCTTTCTAGTGTGTCACAACTAACAGATATTAATGAACAAGAGGAGATACTACTAGAGCAGTTTCTTACTTTGCCTCAACTGAAACAAATTATTACTGACAAGGACGACTTAATAAATAGTATTGAGGAGCTAGCAAGTATGTCTTCCCTTATTTCTTAAATTTCCTAAGAAAAGTGTGATCTTTACCTAGAAATAAACCAGAAATTTATCTTACAGGAAAAAATCTTCTTTTGGAGCCCAGCTTGGAAGCCAAAAGGCAAGCTGTTTTAGATAAGGTGAGTTAGTGCTCATTTTGAAGAAATCCATATAATTTAAAAATAGAAGGAAACAGCATTTTTATTTTCTCTTTTAGTATGAATTACTCACACAGATGAAATCTGCTTTTGAAAAGAAGATGCAAAGACAGCATGAACTTAGTGAGGTAAGATTGTTCAGCCCTTCTCCTTTACCATAACAGTTAGTGATCTCAGTGTGTGTCAGCCACATTCTTACTTTCATTTTTATCAGAAAGTATTTGTCAGGTGTCTGACTTTACAAGGCCTGATGCCTTTAAATGCTCATGGACAGCCCTCAGTCAGGTGGCATTATAAGTCATTGGCATTATAAGTCATTGGTGCTCATGCAAGAGCATATTTGGTTCCATAACAGAAAACTTAAAAACCCCATAAACTTTTCTGGGAAAGTTATTATAAAGCCAGTTTAACTCTTACAATAAAATCTGACAACAAAAACTTTAATTTTAGACTCACTTGTAAGCTTCTGTATAAATACCTTAAATGAAAAGTGATCAAGTAGAAAAATATATAAAAATATAAAGTATAATTCACCACAAATTAAAATTTTTATGTTAGAAATCTGGTTATATGAAAAACAAAAATCATTTTATAAATGTCAATTCTTTTGAAAAAATGAATCTCTAAAAATAAAAGAATAGAGGACATAATTTTTGTATCTCATATCAGTAACTAACATCATAATTAACAATATTCTGCTTCCTTTAAAATCAGGAATTCTTAAGGTAAAGCCAATGGAATAAACATAATATAGAAATAAAACAATAACAAAAAAAATTATGGTAAAGGAGAATATAAATTTATAATGGATTTCAGATATGGTCATTCTTTAGAATAAAATAATAATAGTAACATTGAGCAATTCGATGTTTTATACTGCGAAAGCTATAGACATATATTGCATATTATTCTTCCAAATCTTCTGAGGTAGGTATTATTACTTTTTTTCTGTTTTATGGATAAACTGAGGCACAGGGATAATAAATAACTTCCTTGAGCTTATACAAATAGAAAGCATGAGTCAGACAACAAAACTGAGCAGTCCTTCCTCACTCTTAACCCAGCAGTCTGAGAGAACTAACTGAAATACTCAGATGCACATTAGACTTAGTAGATTCTGAAGAAGCTTTTCACAGTAATCAACATCTTTCTTTTACAAACTCTTGCACTGAAAGTTTTAGTATTAAAAAGATTTAATTCTTTCCAAAATAACTTAAACATTTTATATACTTCCAACCAAAATCTCAAGTATTTTTTTTTTAAGTTCATTTGAAACCCTAAATGGGTAAAAGTGGTCAGAAGAGCTTGAACAAAAAAAAACAATGAGGATGACCACCCTTTCCCAGTATCAGAATACGCTGTAAAACTGCATTATTTAAACAGTATTTTTGTGGGAATAGAAAAATAGATTTATGGAACAGACTATGCAGTTCAAAAACAGACTTGTGTGTATATGAGTAATTAGAAACAATTGAGAATTTAATAAATATAACTGGTAGTCCTTTTAGGAAAAAAATCCCTGTATCAATACTATCACAGTGAGATACTCTATAGAGTATTTAAGTGGAAACCATAAAATTATGAGAGGCAACTATCTCCTAAGTTGTTTTTTTTTTTTTTAAGACAATGGAAATAAAATCCTTTCTAAGCATGCTGTAGCAGGCAGGCACATAACAGGAAAAAATGATATTTACAAGAAATATAAATTTAAAACATATATATTGAGGTCATAAAATCAAAACTGAAGAAAGGGGAATAAACGTGTCTAACATACATGACAAATATTAATGCCAGTGGTTCAAAAAGAGCCCTTACAATAGGCATGGAAAAGAGGAAAGGATGGGAAACTCACAAAAGGAGAAATATGAATGTCCATTAAATAATTTGAGGTAACAGTTATTCAGCCCCCTGGACCACTTATATAAGAATTGCCTTAAGTGGTTCTTGAAATGCTTAAAAAAAAAACTTGGTTCTTAGGCTCTTCTCTAGATGTACTCACTCAGTCTCTGCAGGTGATAAATGTTCCACACTTGAAAGTATAGAAACTACTTCACTAGACTACTGGTGCCACAAGTCCAGGAGCCTGTCCTGTTTTATTTCCTCAGTACACCCAGTAGCTGATCCAGTGCTTGGCACATAGTAGGTATTCAATAAATATGCATTGAATGCATAAATGGATGCATTTACAAAGACACCCAACTTTCTGATGATAATAAGCAAAATTACATCATCTGTGTGAGCCAAACTTGTAAAGGTAGATAACTATTGTTGGCAAGAGTGGTAAGAAAATAGTGCCTTCCAGTACATTCCTGTGTGTGATGTATAATGATGAGTTACCACCTCACACCCACTAGGATGACTTATTCAAAATAGCTCTAGTTCCTTCATTTAGTCTCGGATCCATTTTGAGTTAATTTTGCATGACCTAAGGTCCTTAGGGTTCATTCATTCTGCATGTGGGTCTCCAGCTAACCCAGCACCAGTAGTTGAAGACTGTCCTTTCCCCATTGAATGGTCTTGGCACACATTTTGAAAACCTGTAGCCATATGTGTGAAGGTGAATTTCTGGGCTCCCTGTTGCTTTGATTTATATGTTTCCTTTTTTTGCCAGTACCACACTGTTTTGATTACTGTAGTTTTTTAGTAAGTTTTGAAATCAAAGTATGGATCCTCAAATCTTGTTCATTATCAAGATCGTTTTGGCTGTTTGGGGTCTCTCGAGATTACATAGGAATTTTAGCAGAAATTTTTCTATTTCTGCAGAAAACACCATGGAGATATTGATAGGGATTGCAGTAAAACTGAAGATCATTTTGGGCAGTATTGTCTTCTTAACAATATTAAGTCTTCCCATCCATGAACACAGAATGTCTGCTTTTTTATGTCATCTTAAATTTCTTCCAACAGTGTTTTGTAATTTTCATTGTGCAAATCTTTCACTTTGGTTAAATTTAATCCCATCACTTTTGTCATGTTTTGTTTATTAGAAGCGAGTCACTAAGTCCAGCTGACATTCATGGGGAGGAGGAGTACATGAGGGCAGGAATACCAGGAGTTGGGGTTCATTGGGGATCATCTTAGAGGGTGCCTACCACAGTGATCTGATTGCTGACTCCAGGAGACGACAATAATTTGCCCGGTTTTTCTCATTTAAAAGTTTGCAGCCAATGGATTGGTTTCTCTTCTGTTAGGTATCCACCCCTATCTCCAAAAGCTGAGGACCTGAGTGATAGCAGATTTCCTCAAGACCCTATGTAAGGCATATAACGAGTTGCTTCTCCCTACCTCTCTCTAGGGAATTTTTCTGATCATTGTAAACTAATACAGTACTTGATTTTCTTTTTCAGAGCTGTAGTGCGAGTGCCCTGCAGGCAAGATTAAAAGTAGCTGCACATGAAGCTGAGGAAGAATCCGATAATATTGCTGAAGATTTCTTGGAGGGAAAAACTGAAATAGATGATTTTCTCAGTAGCTTCATGGAAAAGAGAACTGTATGTAATACTCTTTGGTTGAGGACAAGTGACAGTGTGGTATCAAATTAAGTATATTCCTGAGTAAAAAAATGTCAGCACCTTACTGAGCTGGAGTTTGAGTGCCATGAAAGGAAACTGAAGAACCTCCATTGAGAATGACAGCAACATCCTTCTATCACTTTAGGCCTGCTTGTTGTCAGTACACAAGCAAGTCAGTCAAGTAGCTCTGTTTCAGAACTGATGGTGGAGTGTCATTTGTAGTAAGGCTGGTAAATCCGTGTAAGTGAACCTGTTTCACAAGTTACTCTAAAAGACAATAAGCTATAGAGATTAATTTTTTAAATATTATTAAGACCATTCTGGAACAGTTTCTGTTTGATGATTTTCATTATATATAAAGGAAAATAAAAAAAAAGTCTGCTTAGTAGTGTCTTTCCCTTTGATATTATCCTATATATTTACCTAATTTCTCTGAAACATCACATTTTAAAACTAATCTTTTGTTACTGAACTTTGTGAAACATGTGCCAAATATATGCCTATTCTGTTAAGGAAGGTGAAAATGGGGACATTAGCAACTATGGTTATAGCATTAGTAAGGCATTGACTTTTCATCTGTTGTTCTTTGGTACTACATAACTACCTTGAAGTTTTTATTAACCTTCCTGGTTAACAATGGTAAGATTTATTTTTATAATTTTAAAACACAGATATTTGATAATACATCATCAGAACTGATATAAAGCATCAGTTTGTTTTACATTCTGGAAGTTTATAAGTAAAGGTTATCTGCCAAACAAAATTAATTTTTATTTCTTTTCTTTGTTGATTTTAAAGGAAGAGGGAGAGAGAGAGAGAGAGAGAAACATCGATGAGAGAGAACATTGACTGGCCACCTCCTGCATGCCCCCCACTGGGGATCAGGCCCACAACCTGGGCATGTGCCCTGACCGGGAATCAAACCGGCAACCTCTTGGTGCATGGGTCGATGCTCAACCATTGAGCCACACTGGCCAGGCGTAATTTTTATTTCTTAAATTCTACCTTAAACATTCAAAAACTGAAGTGTCAGCAGGTTAAAAGAATCTACTTAGAATTCTATTATAATGTAGGAAGTAGTAGGCACATTGTTGGAAAGGTGACTGATATTTTAAATAATTTACCTTCTAGATTTGCCACTGTAGAAGAGCCAAGGAAGAGAAACTTCAGCAGGTGATAGCGATGCACAGCCAGTTTCATGCTCCGCTGTAGGTAAGTTGTATTCTGGGAGGTGTGTGTCTCAAGGCTGTTGCACGGCTATTCTTTCACTGAAGTGTGCTCACCACTGCCTGTTCAGACAGCTTTAAGCAGGATACTGTCATTGTAGCTCTTACGCTATGGAACATATAAAATATTTTGCATTACATATTAAGCATAATGTTGTATACATAAGCATATAGCCAGTAGAAATCTTTTGGATAGTTTCACAATATGATGTTGGCTTAAATGAAAAATTTTTTTAACATCTGATAGCTACTTGTATCATAAACTATAATTCATTCCTTGTTCTCAGCTGGTGTGTGGAGTATAGTATACCATAGCCTCATTAGTCTCCTTTGTCATTTCATCCTTTAAAATGAACTTCCAGTCTGTCTCCTTTCCATCTCTCACCAGGATTATTCCAATAATATTCTGGCCAGTCCCCTGCCTTCAGATTTTTTCCTTCCTGCACAGGAAAGACAGGCTAATCTTCCTAAAATACCACTCCATGAGATAATTTCTCTGCCTTAGAACCTATAATGGGTTCCTAGCAACGATAGTATCAGTGCCACATTTTTATATCTGGTTTTAAGCCTCTATAAACGGGCACATATTTGAGATCTTTAATTTTCCATTTTTTTTATTATGTTGTTTCACGTGTCATGTTCTTTTGTCTATTCCATGTCTTTGTCCATGCTTTTACTTGATCTCAGGCTTTTCCTCTCCATCTGTCTTGTTCAGGGAATAATTTGGTTGTGAGAAGTAATTCCCACCCCAGCAAGCAAAAAGCTGTGTTCCTGGGTAACGCGGGGTACATTACAGAGCCAAACACAGGAAGTGCAGCTCAGGCCCTGAGAGTGAGAACGTGACTGGAGGCCGCAGCAGCTCCTCTTTCTCACACCCTTTCCAACATGCTGGTTTCTCAGCTCTGCCTCTTTCTTCTCCCTCTCTCCCATTTCTTTCTCCCTTGCTCTTCAGAGAGCTCTTCTTTGCTACACTTGCAGGTTCTTCAGCCTTTGCTGCTCACAAGCCTGCTCTTATCAGCAGTTCAGGCAGTGGAGGCTGGAAACGGTCTCACCACAAATTCCTGGGAGAGAGACTGGCCCAGGATGAGTGGTGTCATGTGGTCCTCGGCCCGCTCAACTGGGCTGAAGGAGTGGACTTTGAGAAGGGAGGACAGGAAGGTCCCTGAAAGGGGAGCAGGCTACAGGGAGGGAAATAACAGTTCTAGTTCATCTGCCCCTTCTCTCGGTGTAGTTATGTTTAAGATTACGGCCAACGTTGAATTAAGTTTATATCTTATTTTGCAAATTATATTCAGTCTCTAATAATAAGGGTTGACTTTTAATATCAAGTGTGCCATTCTTTTTTTTTTTTTTTTATCCTCACCCGAGGATATTTTTCCATTTTTTGAACAGATAGAATGGGAGGGAGAGAGAGGAAGGGAGAGAGAGAGAGAAACATCAACGTGAAGGGACACATCGAGTGGCTGCCACCCGCACGACCAACCAGGGCCGGGGACAAACTGCAACCGAGGTACATGCCCTTAGCGGGAACCGAACCCGGGTCTCTCCAGGCCGCAGGCCGACGCTCTAACCGCTGAGCCAAACTGGCCAGGGCAAGTGTGCCATTCTTAATCCGTGGGAAGAAAATGGACTCTGAGTAATTGCTTATTTATATGAATATGCTAGAATCCTTTCCCCACCTCTTTCCCTCATTGCCAAGGTATCTTTTTTTTTTTTAATCCTCACCTGAGGATATTTTTCTGTTGCTTTTTTAGATAGAGTGTGAGGGAGGAAGGGGGGGCGAAAGAGAGAGAGAGAGATCGATTGGTTGCCTCCCACAGGACCCAGACAGGGACCTGCAACCGAGGTACATGCCCTTGACCAGGAATCAGCCTTCGACTCTTCGGTCCACAGGCCAACGCTCTAACCAGTGAGCCAAACCGGCCAGGGCAAGTTGTCTTTTTACAGGTCAATATTAATGGGAAGAAAATATAAAGGGATGAAAATCTATCATCTTAAATTAAATCTTAGGTTTTCTTAATTTTCTTTTCTTTCTAGATTTTCCTGAAAACATGAACTGCCACGAGAGGAATGGGACACATAACTAAGCACATTTATATTTATGATTTGCACATTGGCATTTCATCACAGCAGCTGAATTCACAGCTATACTATAGATCGTATACAGAACTGATTTTGTATACATCAGACTGATTGCTATAATCTTGACTTTGAGAAATTTTTCTGCACTATTTGCACTAAAAATGTTTATTTATTATTGATAAATCCTATCATATTTAAGTTCCACTGCTCTTCCTCTCTTATTACTTATGCATGTAATTTTAGCTAGTTTTGATATTTTATAAAATGGCTTCATTTGAATTTGTACTTTTAATTTGAAACTGCCTCATTCTTTATCAAAAATGATTTGTTTAGATTTTTTCCTCAGCCTTTTATGAAAAATTACTATTTTGAACTGTAGAAAAACTTATTTTTCTTCTTTCTTTCTTTCTGGATAATCAAACTTTCAAAAACAATTTCTTTTAAATATTTCTATTGTCAGTAAACAATAAACCTGCCAATATGCCATCTCAAGAAAGTAACTTTTAATACGAACAATAAATCAAAAAAATAAACCAGCTGCTCTTATATATTGTTTTTATTTTTAAAATTAAACATGCATTTAAGAAGCAATACAGGTAAATATTTCACCTAATAGAAGAAAATTGCCATTAACTTAAATTAGTCCAACATAAACTTTCATTCTAATTTTTTAAATATAGTATGTGATATGGCTGGATAAGGATAGACTGTCTAAATTACTGATGTTAAAGTTAAAAATAATCTTTGTTAATAAATAGTAAATTTGGACCTAAGAAAGTCAATGAAATTTTCTACCCTTTACTGTGTTAGCTTTTTATAAGAGAAAAACTATAGGAATAAATGAAATTAATAATTAATTTTTAGGAAGTTGAATTTTTCATTAATTTAAGTTTTCTTTACCTTGTCCTATGTTCAGCAGTTTGCTTCTGTTCCGTGTTACAGAATGAAACACACTTTATGGGTAGCTGAACTGTCTACTGGTAAAAGTAGTATCGAAATCACAAAACAACCTAATGCACACTTTTGTTTAAATTTCACACCAGTACACTTGCCATTTCAAACACCAGCGTACAGTACAGTTTGTCTTCCTTCTTCTGTTTGCCTCTAACATGTTTTTGGCAATAGAGTTTTAGGGAAAAGAAAATTATTTTCTTAGACTTGAAATATATTTAATACTTAGTCTGTATTTACGAAAAGTCAAGTATTCACATGGACTAGAAAGATGGACTTTGGATAAAGAAATTGTCTTTTATTAATACCTGTCTTCCTCACACTGTGCTAAGGGAGTGCTGTTTGATCTTCAGAATGACCAGATAAGGAAGGTATGATAACTTCTCTGGATTTGTAGATAAGTGAGGTAAGTGTTTCCAGTTTGTGGCAGACTCTCCAGCGTACTCAGAACCCTTTCCTTACCGCTCTAGCCAGCAGACGTCAGATGTCCCCGCAGTCACCATAGTGGAGGGTATGAGTCCCAATCTTGTGCCAGGAGGTGGCTTTCTTATAAACCAAGTAGATCCCAGAACAAGACACCAGCAGATCACAGCCATTCTAAAAGGACGTCAGTTCATTTGCTCTACTAATTTTATTAAGCACCTACTAAGAAGGAGGCAGTGTGGAAATACTACAAAACTATGAGTAAGACATGGTTTAGGTGCTTTTCTGCCTTCCCCTCACAAAAATGTCCTTACATAGTCTCTTCAGTCACATAAGTAATTCATCTCAATGTATTTATTCTTTAAGCCTGAACTATTCTGTACCAGTTAACATAGCTTGGTTTCTCCTTCCAAAATTAATTTATTGGATAATGTCCTTACAACCCAGTTATTAAAAGAGGAGTTTGATTGTCATTGTCTGCATTTAAAAGAGACACATTAGTTGAGATATAGGTTAAGTCATCCAGGATGGAAAAAGTCTGCATTTGAATATGTCTGTGAATTTTGGTGGTGGTTGCAACAGGAATTATGTGACATTTTCGGTAATTTTATGGCTATATTTTCTATAATGGGCATGTTGGAGAAGCAGTGCCAGAGGTGGGGAAAACGCCTGACAAAGCAGAGATTTGGGTTTTACATTAATATATAATGAAAGACTATGGAAATCGGGCCTGGCCGGTTGGCTCAGTGGTTGAGCATCGACCCAAGCGCCAAGAGGTCGCCAGTTCAATTCCCAGTCAGGGCACATGCCCAGGTTGTGGGCCAAATAGCCACTGGGGGGAATGCAGGAGGCAGCCAATCGATGTTCTCTGTCATTGATGTTTCTCTCTCTAAAAATCAGTGAAGAAAAAAAAAAAAAGAAAGACTATGGAAATCAGAATGGTAGAAGCTTAGGAGTTACTAGATTATTCTGAGTAGGTGATTATCATGGGTAGAAAGGTAAAGGCTAATTTATCAAAATAGAAAGTTTTCTAAATAAATGAGATACTTAAGATATGTTTCAAAGTTGGATTATTTTCTAGGAATAAACCAGGAAATTTATATTGGAATAAAGGTAAGTTTGTTCATAATTTATATATATGCTTAAATTAAAGAACAACTCATTAATTTTTTTTTTTTTATCCTCACCCGAGGACATTTTTCCATTTTTTGTTCAGGTAGAGTGGGAGGGAGAGAGAGGAACAGAGAGAGAGAGAGAAACATCCATGTGAAAGGAACACATCGAGTGGCTGCCACCCGCACAACCGACCAGGGCCGGGGACAAACTGCAACCGAGGTACACGCCCTTAGCGGGAACCGAACCCGGGTCTCTCAGGACCGCAGGCCGACGCTCTAACCGCTGAGCCAAACAGGCCAGGGCCAACTCATTCATTTTTAGGGAAAGACACTAATTGTGTACTTCTAACGAAAGAAAACGTATGTCAGGGTTTTCCTTCTCTTCACCTTCCTATATTCTAAAAAAGTTCCTTTGTTGATTGCTGAATTATCAAAATTTCTGCCTCCTTCATATCATTACATCTACCTGAATGTGATCACATAGTAAGTCACTTGAGCTCCAAGTGTTACTAGTTGGGAAGTGATTTGCCTTGGTCAGTTTTACTTTGGTTTGTTCCCTGTGCTTTAAACCAACAGCCCAAAGTAAACTACTTCCTGATGTTTGATTTAAAACAAGAACGTTTTGTTAGAGATTTCAGTCTTGTCGCATTGGCCCTGTGAAAGCACACTAAAGTTTAATAAGCAATAAATGTCAGTGTTAGGTTAACTTCTAGTCAGTATTCTAAATAAACATATATGTAAAGTCTTGTAAGATGTTTGGGAGGCTGAAAACAGTTTGTTGATTGTGAAACACACCATACTGAATTAAATTTTAAACTATCAAGTATACTGTTTTTCAAAATAAGTGCATAGTTTAGTTTGGTATATTTATAATGTCATGTTTTAAATTTTTATTATGTATTTTTGTAGATGGATGCTGCCAAATGGAAGAAATTAAAGTCGCATCCTCAGTATTTGGCAGAGACTTTTCTACAAGCTGATAACTACAAGAAACACATACAGTGAGTTATGTTATAAAAATGCAAAAGCCATTACGACTGTGTCCTAAGTATTTATCAGCAACCATCCATTCCCTACTATATACAATATATTGCAGAAAAAGAATAAACATTCATTGTGCTTTATTTGGAACTGCTTAGTAGAGCATGCTCAAATTCTGTAGTCTAAAAATATTACATTTACATTAACAGAGAAATTTTATATTATAAGTCAACATATTAAAGTTCTATTTTTAAGTATGATTAATGTAATTACAATTATACTGTTAATTTCACGTATATATGAATACACATATTCATATATATATATAGCCACACACCTTCCAAATCTTTCACGCTAAAGATATCAGCAATGTAGCGCTGTTGCCCCCCCCCCCCCATTTTATTGAGATATAATTGACATTTATCACTGTATAAGTTTAAGGAGTGCAGCGTAATGGTTTGACTTACATATATTGTGAAGTGATAACTGCAGTAAGTTTATTTAGCATCTGTCATCTGTCATAGATATAATAAAAAGAAAAGAAGGAAAAAATTGTTTCCATTGTGATGAGAATTCCTAGGACTTACTCTGTTAACAACTTTCATATATATCATACAACAGTGTTAACTGTAGTTACCATGCTGTATATTAAATCCCTAATACTTACTGATCTTGTAACTGGAACTTTGTACTTTTTGACCACCTTTCTCTTCTCCCCACCCCCCACCTCTGCTAACACAAATCTGATCTGTTTTTCTGCAAGCTTGGTTTTTTTTTTCCCTTTAGATTCCACATATAAGATCACATAGTATATGTATTTGTCTTTCTCTGTCTGATGTATTTCACTTAGCATAATGTATTGAAGGTCAATCAGTGTTGTCACAAATGGCAGTATTACCTCATTTTTTATGTCTGAATATTTCAGTGTGTGTACACACATACACACACACACACACACACACACACACAATAGCTTTATCCATTCTTTTGTTGATGGACACTTAGGTTTTTTCCATGTCTTGGATATTGTAAATAATGCTGCTATGAATATGGGGTGCAAATATCTTTTTGGGTTAGTGTTTTTAATATATACCCAGAAATGGAATTGCTGGATCATATGGTAGTTCTATTTTTAATATTCTGGGGTTCCTCCATGCTGTTTTTCCATAGTGGCTGTACCAGATAACATGCTCATCAACAGTGTACAAGGGTTCTCTTTTCTCCACGTTCTTGCCAACATTTGTTATTTCATGTCTTTTTAAAAATCCTCACCCAAGAATATTTTTTTGTTTATCTTCAGATGAGGGAGGTAGAGTGGGACAGAGAGAGAGAGAGAGAGAGAAACATTGATGTGAGAAAGACACATTGATGGGTTGCCTCACGCACAACCCTGACAAGGGCTGGGGACTAGACAGCAAACGAGGTACGTGCCCTTGACTAGAATCCAACCTGCAGCTCTTTGGTTCCTGAAGCCAACGCTCTAACCGCTGAGCCAAACTGGCCAGGGCTATCGTATGTCTTTTGATGATAGCTATCCTAACAGGTGTAAGGTGATATCTCACGTAGTTTTGATTTGCTTTTCCCTGATGACTAGTGATGTTGAGCATCTTTTCATGTAACTGTTTGCCTTTCATGTATCTTCTTTGGGAAAAAAATGTCTACCTATGTCTTTTACTCACTTTTACAATTGGATTACTTGTTTTTCTGTTGAATAGTGTAAGTTTTGTATATATTTTGTATATTAACCCCTTCTGGTTTACAAAATTGTTTCCCATTCTGGAGGTTTTCTTTTCACTTTGTCTTTGCTGTGCAGAATCTTTTCAGTTAGATGTAGTCTCACTTGTTTATTTTTGCTTTTATTGATAATGCTTTAGGTGTCATAGCCAAAAATTCATTGCCAAGACTTATGTCAAGGAGCTTTTTTCCTCTGTTTTTATGCCAGTACCACACTGCTTTGATTACTATAGCTTTATGGCGCAGCTTTAAATCAGGGGTATGGCTCAGCCCTTCACCTGGGTGGATGTGGACCAGGCTCCAGCAGAACTCCTCCTTTGGGAACCCAAATGAGGCAGACCTGCACCATGCTGCACCGCTGACCTGCCTCTGCACACGAGCCAGGCCGCTGGTTGGGACTACTTACCTCTTGGGTTCTGAAGGTGGGAACTCATCCTCTAAGACCGAGTGCTAATCGTTGGAAGCCCCTCCCCACTGATCTGTCTCAGTCAGACTCCCAGAGGTAGAGCCCACAGATTCTGCTGAAATACCCGAAACCAGAGTAGGGGCTCCCACTAAGACCCACCTCGCTGGAATGCTGGATGCCACCCCTGGACTGTTCCCATGGGAGGAACTAGAGGTCCAGGGCCCTTGGCGTGGTGCTGCGCTGGCCTGGGGAGGAGCAGCACAGCCATTCCCGTTACCCTGTCTGTGCGGCCGCCCCGTCTCCAGTGCCGCGGGCGCCTCGGCCTGGCTCCCTGGTTCCAGGATTCCCCGGCGGGATCTTGTCCGGAAGTGCTTGTCAGTTCTTGAGAAGGGGGTGGAGTCAGCAATGACCTGTGTTGTCGTCTTGGTGACATCACTCACTCCCCTCTGCTTTATCTTTATTTTGTTCCCATTTCAGCAAAATTTAATACATTATCCTATTTTTTAAAGTTTACACTCAAAATATTGATGTAGACTATACCTCATAATTGAAAACTGTACGGTGTGAATGTTATTTATCTCTGTTCAACAAGGCAACTTTTCTCCACTAAGTTTCTTCAGATCAAAAGTTTAGCCCTAGCCAGTTTGGCTCAGCGGTTAGAGCATCCGCCTGCAGTCCGGAGAGACCCGGGTTCGGTTCCCGCTAAGGGCACGTACTTCGGTTGCAGTTTGTCCCCAGCCCTGGTTGGTCGTGTGGGTGGCAGCCACTCGATGTGTCCCTTCACGTCGATGTTTCTCTCTCTCTCTCCCTCCCACTCTATCTGTACAAAAAATGGAAAAATATCCTCGGGTGAGGATAAAAAAAAAAAAAAAGTTTAGGTCACCCAGTCAAGTTCCATTTTTTATCAACAGACAGGGGAATGGTTCTGCTTCAAATGTGCATCTTAGTAAAACCAAAACTTTGCAGGATTAATTCAACAGTCAGTGGTCATGAGATGTAACAGTGTTATTTAAACCACATTAACCGGTTACCATTTCTGAAACAGTAGGTGACAGAACTTATTCCACTGGTTAAATGGAAATGGCAGCTACATTCTCTAGTTCTTTATTGGGATTGTCCCTCATTTGAAGTATTACCCACTAATTTCATATTGTTATACTTCAAGGATCGGGCCGGTGATTGGCCCACACTGCCTTGGTAAGGTAGTCCCTGGAATAGTAATAAAAGCTTATTAATAATAAAGCTAATATTATCTGAATTCATATTTAAGAACCAGAGAGTAAATGTTGCTTCTACTTTATTAGTTATTAGACCCATGTTAGAGGAAAAAGTGAGTTACAAGTTTTAGCATTTTTTAAATGGTATGGAGAAATAAAAGATGCCCGAAAAAGGCAACAAAATTATTATAACAATTCAAAATATATTATCTAAGGAAAAGTTAAAGAGATCATGAAACCTGAAAGATAAGCAATTACAAAGCTCCTGGGTTACAGAAATATATCTATTAACCAAAAAGGGTGCATTTCAACAATGTCCTCTGTTACTAGAAATAGTTATGACAAAGTCAGGAAGGGAAGTAGCGTCAAATGTTTAAGGAAACAAAAGATGCACCAGGAAGTGAAATGAGGGGGAAGACTGAAGATGGTATCGGGGTATCAGGGTGTGGCAAGGGGTCTGCACTTGGAGCAGATGCATGCTGTGACGAGGAAGTTTGTGTTGATAACCTCAGGTGATGCTCGAGGTCATCGCTCTGCAGTGAATAAAACTTCCATAGTCTAGAACGATTTCTGAAATGGGATCATTTCCTTAATTTTTATTTGACAAAAGAAATGGCTACTTCCTGTTCTTCGACGTCTTAAGTCTTAAGAAACGATGAGTTGGACTTTTTCCCCATTTTCATTGCTATATTTTATAATTGTCAATATCATGTATCATTTCTTGAGTTATTTTTAATCTTAAATTGCACTGTTCCCTTATTTTTGGAAAGTGTTTCTGGCGTGTCCTTTGTTTGGAAGTCCAAAGGGAGGTCAGGCCGTGAGAAACACGGCTTCATCAGAGTCCCGATCCTTGCCGCTGTCTTCGCTGGGGGCACACTCGCCACCACTGGGGGACCGGCAGCTCAGGTCCTCCACCCCCGACTCCTGGTCGCTGTTGGCCGACAGGTCTGGATCCGAGCTTTTCAGATTGTCCTGGGTTAGGATCAGCGCCGAGTCTTCGTCGCCTTGGGAAGGGGTCCTGGACGGGAATGACCTGGCGTTCCCGCTGTAGTCCTGGGGGGTGTTGGCTGCGCTGTTGTTGCAGGTGGAAAACCCTGAGTGTTTGCTGGGTTCGCTCGGCTTGCTCTTCACTTCAGAGCAGTTGGACTGGACTTTCTGGATTTTTTCCAGTCTCTAAAAAGGAAACAACAATTTCCAGGAAAAATCAAATAATTTACCTTTTTTACATATGCATTCCTTTAGTAATCATTACCTTCCAGCTAGGTATAATGTTAAAACGTGATTTAGCCCTGGCCAGTTTGGCTCAGCGGTTAGAGCGTCGGTCTGCGGTCCGGAGAGACCCGGGTTCGGTTCCCGCTAAGGGCACGTACTTCGGTTGCAGTTTGTCCCCGGCCCTGGTTGGTCGTGCGGGTGGCAGCCACTCGATGTGTCCCTTCACGTCGATGTTTCTCTCTCTCTCTCTCCCTTCCTCTCTCTCCCTCCCACTCTATCTGTACAAAAAATGGAAAAATATCCTCGGGTGAGGATGAAAAAAAAAACAAAAAAAAAACGTGATTTAGATGGGCTTGGGTTCAAAGGTAGATTGTATGACCTTGGACAAAATGATTAGTTTCTTCACCTCTAATATAAGAATGGTAATACCTGCCTTAGCATAGGTTTTCTATAAAATGCAAAAATCGTGAATAACCTAGGCACAGCCCCAGGCGCTCTCCTTTCTGTACCTAGATGGATTTACAGAGCGATTTCATCCTATGAACTCAAAATGCATAGTTTTAAAATCAGGAATAAGGTGTTACCTAATTTTTTTACCTGAGATATAAGTCACCATAAACTTCGCCCTTTTAAAGTATACAAGCCAGTAGTTTTTAGTATGTTCACAAGGTTATGCAACAATTGGCCACTAATTCCAAACATTTTCATCCCTGAAGAAAACCCTACACTCATTAGCAGTGGCTCCCCAAACCCCTCTCCCACAGTTCCTGGCAATCTCTTAGCTACTTCCTGTGTCTGTGAATCTGCCTAGTCTGGGTGTTTCATGTAAGTGGAATCATACAATATGAGACCTTTTGTGTCTGGCTTCTTTCACTTAGCTTATGTTCTCAGGGTTCATCCACACCGTAGCATGTACCACATCCCCTTTTATGGCAGACTAACGTTCTGATGTGTAAATATCCCACATTTTGTTTATCTGTTGATCAGATGATGGACATTTGGGTTATGCAAAATACATTTTACCAGATTTCATCCTTCAGTGTGGGCTGGGGAGGTATTATAAGTCATATGTACCAAGTATTGATCTTCGTTCGGAAAGCATTCATGTGAAGTTGTGTGCAGAGGTACTGTGCTGGCAGTATGAGCGAGATAAACACGGACCCAGCCATAGGGACATTGTAGGAATTCGGAAGAGGCCAACGTCATTTCAGAGGGCGGGGTCATATGGTTGGAGGGAAGAGACCAGGGTAAGCTTCAGGGAGGAAGGAGCCCTTTAACAGGACTGAAGGAGGTCAGCGTGGACATGCTGGTGATGGTTAGAGCGTCTGGCAGGAGGGAGTGAGAAGAAAAACACGAAGAAGTGTCACTTGTGTACAAGAAGCAGAGAACGGTTAAACTGGAGCAAGGGGAACAGTGGAGAAGTTTAAAGGTAGGTTAGACTGGAGTGGGGACATTTCACATGCCAGGCGGAGGAATTTTGTCTTTGTTATAAGGAAAAAAGAGCAAAGGTTTTAAGTACTTTTAGAGGATTAAGTAATTTTTTTGTTTGTAGCATTTTAACAAAAGAATACTGGAATAGATTGATAGAATCCTCAGCTTTTCATAAAGCTTGGATGTCTTTAGGAAGGGTAAATAAAACTGGCCCAGTCAGCCCGGGCGGGTTTGGCTCAGCAGTTGGAGCATCGGCCCACAGACCAGAGAGTCCTGGGTTCGGTTCCCGCTGAGGGCATGTGCCTCGGTTGCAGTTTGGCCCCACCCCGGTTTGGGTCGTGTGGGTGGCATCCACTTGATGTGTCTCTCTCACATCGATGTTTCTCTCTCTCCTCCTCCCTCTTTCCCTCCTGCTCTATCTAAGAATAAAGGCAAAAATGTCCTCGGGTGAGGATAAAAAAAAAACTGGCCCAGTGATGACATGAGTGGACTATGAATGGCCAAGCTGTTTTCGCAGCTCTGAATTTCTCAAAGCCTAAGTTGTACCTCCTATTACTTCTCTATACATGTAGTTCAAGGTCTCAGCCCTGGTGACAGGTCACAGAATGGCACTCGAACATCTCCACCAGACTCTCTAGGCTCAGAGCCCAGGCATCAGGATTGTTTATATCATTATGCAATTACTCTTTAAAATGAAGAGTAAGTTTTTACTACAAGTACATATATCTGACTTTGTTCTTTCAGGTCGAATACCATTGCAGTTGGCCCTCATTTATCGTGGTTAATCAGTTCCAGACTCTACCACGATAAATGAATTTCCACAAAGTAGGATTCTTTATTTATACAGTTGTCCCTTGCCGCTTGGACTTCCGTGGCGAGGGACGACTGTGTGTCTTACCTCTTCCAGGGCCTCTAGTTCTTCCTCCAGCTGCTGGGTTTCCTCCTTCACTGCCATGAGGTAGTCTGTGACCGACTGTCGGGGCTGCAGTCCCTTCTCAAAGCGGTTGTACATTCCACTCCAGAACCTGGAAGGGAGGCAGAGCCTCGTGACACTGCTGGGTCACACCGAACTCACGCGCCCAGGTCCTGTCAGGTGTCTTCAGTCCCGCAGCCCCACAGCCCTGACAGTAACCAAGTGCACGTTCTGGGCTCAGAAAGCCGCTGACTTAAGGTAGTGACTTCATGTTGATGTTTTCTTTCTCTTGGGTCAATAAACTTCTTTCAGGGAGAGTAAATTCATGAATTTGTATATGTGGTACTGAATTAAAAGGCCTATAATTTTTTAAATAGATTGGAGCACCACATGTTACCATTTTATTTTTTCTATTTTTTGGTTTAAGAAAATGGCTCTTTGTTTGGAAGTAAACTTGGAAAATTTGTAATTGTATAAACATTTACAATCTTTCAGCTCCAAAGGGAATCTTTTAAATTTGAGGGTTTAGCTTGTTTTATCACAACCACCAAAAATTTGCATTTGCATTTGCAATGAACCCTCCCTTTTTTATCCTACACAACAATGCAAACGAGAGTTTGCATTTCCACAGGGATACCCATAGGTCCACACTTTACTTAGGAAGTACTCAGAGACAGTCATTCGTTGTCTTGTCCACAGTTCCTGACTGGACCCTCTATGACACATGTGCGGCTGGCTGTTCATACGAAGTTAATTCCAGCTGAATGCAGTGTGAGCAGCTCTCAAAACTGCTGTTTTACACAAAAAATGGAGGCATTTTTTTTAGTCTGAAAGAATTGATATCCTGCTATAAAATTCTGGGTAAATGATTAGTTTGGAATAATTCGGAATAAAATCTATAGAGGAATAAAAGCCGTAAAGTGAGTGTTGGGTGTGGGAAGAGAGAAGGAGTGGTTTCTCAGTCTATTCTGTGAATCTGCCTTTGTGTTGACCCCCGAGTCATCCTTCTGTAGCATACAGGCCTAGAGAAGGCAGCAAGAGACAAAAGATAATACCCAGTACTTACTAGTAGAATCAGTAGGATGCCACCCTTCTCTCCTCACCCACTCTACACAGTCTTAAGTAATTTATTTCCACGGGAAAATAGTTCCACTAGGACTTGATTCAGCAGAGAAAAGGTAAACAATGTTGTGATCGCTAAACTTGTGAGTCCACATTTAACTTAAAATTGGTTTATTCAGTCCGTTTTTCCTTCCCTCCCTCTTTCACTTTTAAATGAATTGGAACTTACATTTCAAAGATATCATCATTACAGAACTTCTAAGATAATTCCTTATTTAGGGGGAAAGTCTAGGGAGAGGAGACTGGCAGAAAACCAGGTCAGACATTGAAGCCACCCTCCTTTGGAGTATTCTGTGTCCCAGAGGCCTTGAAGCTCAGTGTTTCTTAGAAACGCCCAGGATCTGAGTTCATGACCATCCCGAGCACAGTCCGAGGTGTACGTACTTGTACATGAAGTTGCATGGCGCTGTGGGCAGACGAAGGGTCCCCTGGGTCTGGCTGGGGTCAGCTCTGAAGAGAGGGTTTTTGTAGTCAGCCCGATTCTTCCACAGGTGAGCCCATAAAGAGTATGTTCTTTCTTGAATTCTGTGGTCAAGAAAAGAAGCCTGAAAGGACCTATCTTGGTTCTTGTAAATAGTAGAATGTGTAATATCAAAGCTGGAAAGGGACCAGTAATTGTCATCTGAATATCTCGTGTCCGTTTCTGCAGCAGGGACATTTGCACACTCTGTCTTTGTGGTTGAACACAAGAACACTAATAATCTCAGCGCCTCTGTACTGGCTTCAACAAGATGTTTAATTCCGGAGTGTGAGATAGAACTGCTGTGTAATTTGGGGTTTTGTTTTTTACTGTAAATAGTCTTAAACTTTTATTATTTGCCAAGTATTATTTAAATGCTTCATATGTTTTCTCTCATTTAACCCTCACTGAATTTCTCTGAAATATGCCTGTTTTACAAATGGAAACTGAGGGTGACGGGGATTTGTATCCGACAGTCACATGCTAGTGAGTGGAACAGCCAAGAGTCAAACCAAAACAAATGCCACTAAATTAGCTGGTGTGTCCCAACGAAGCACAGAGCTGTCCAGGGAACGGGCAAGCTTGAGGGTCGCTGCTTCTAAATGACTACCAGCTGTCAGGAACCAGCTTGACAGTCCTGGGAGAAAACAAGCTAGTATCCACTAGAAAAAAGTCCTTTTCTTCTGTTCAGAAAGTGTAAAACTAGTGGAGTCCATTGGCTGTGAATTGACCGTTTCCAAAATTAAATCTGGTATTATATGGACCACTGCTAAAATCATATTAATTTATAAAAATTTCAGAGATGTTCTCTCACTTGCAGTTCATAAGTCACTTTGCTGTTTTTAAGTTTTTGACTTTATAATTTATTTAAAGTCCAAATTTCATCTACTTTTTTCCCCCATCTGGATAAAGGCAATACAGTTTTAATCTGAATAAAAGAGTGGCTTGAGTTTGCTTTCCCAGTGACATTTATATAATAACAGGTCCACCAGTGACATCTGCTTCCTTTTAAACGCAAAAATCGCCTTCTTCGACCCCAGGAAGTTTCCTTTCGATAGTAGTGTGTCACGTCTGCCAGTTCGTCTGGACATCAGGAGGAAACGGAAATGGGTGTACCTGTCTTTGTCAGTTGATATATTTATGAAGTGATGTCAGGAAAAAGAAAGAACATTAATCTGTCAGTATAGGTGTGAGTTTAAAAGGGTCTTCAGAATTATGAAAGGGCATCTGAAATTCTCAGTCACAAAATTACTTTAGATAAAAATTAAGTACCAAAACACTTACTTGAGTTCTCGTCTCTCCTTTTGGCTGTTACATAGGAAGTTTCCAAACTGGCAGGAATAGATGTGATGTTGAATGTGAATCAGAAACCGCTCATTGAACTCAAACGCACAGGGAAACTGTTCCATTAACTGCCAGACACACTCAATGAACTGGTCGATGACTGGAGAGATCTCCTTCGGGTCGCCGTCCAGGTTGCCGTATCTGCAGTGTCAGAGCATTTGCATGGCCAGTTTGTTTTTTTATTAGAAAGCTATAAATGCAAAAGCAATCATAAAAGCAACTCTTATTCCCAAGTAAATTTTACCTTATAAATCCAAAATGCAAAGAAGTGAAAAAAAAAAAACAACTTAAAATTCCAATCTCAAGAGAAACTTTGTAGTGAAGGTTTGGGTCAAGAAGGGACATATTCATGTTATAGCTACAAAAGAAAGTGTACTGCTAAAGATAAAATTAAAGGGAACTTCCCATGGACAAAGAGTGTTTTTTAATTCAAATTTTGTAAGTACATTAGACCTTCTGAAATATATCTTCACTTGGTTTTCTTTAGTGTCTAGAGAGTGAAGAAATATCTAAAAAACATTAGCATTTTTAACTTTTGCATTGTTTTGAGGGGTAGGAATAAGAAAGACAGCTTTAAAAAAATTGTGGTTTTCGAAGTTTCTAGGGATAGTTTCATTTCTAGAGCAGTATTATAACTTGCCATATAATTTATTTCCACAGATTCTAATATACCTTGATATCTCATAACTGTTTTTCGAGAGTAAGTCAGAGAATCTTGAAACAACGTTCAAGAGTGGGTTAGAATCTAAATGAAGACTGCCTAGTCCCTTACCCTGTCACGTGAGTTTTAGAAAGAAGACAAAAGGGGTCATTTGGCTGCCATCAAGTGTAAAGAATCCAGAACCTCATCTCAGCAATGGATACAGCTTGAGGACTAGAAATGAGCAAGGATCAGTTTAGGCGTTTTTCCAAGAGTGGACACATTAGAAATTGTCTGGAAACTTCTTAAAAGTTTCAGTTATGCTCACCTTTAAAAAAAAAAAAAGTTGCCTAATAATACTTTTTCCTTATAAAATAATTATCCAGCTAGTCTTCAGCCATTTCCATATTCTTTCTGTCCATATGTCCTCCATCTTGGAGATTCTAACTGTCCAGTAGATACAGTCAATAGGGCACCAAAACTGAAAATAACAACGATCTTAAGAAGGTTAACTTGTTTGGGGGCTTTAATTCTCTAGTAAAATGGAATTATTGCGCTTTCCTGGAAATGTAATTCATTATTAAAATAGAATTCCACAAAAGCACAGAATCAATGCTAAATACAAAAACTGCAAAAATAAACATGGGCAGTTCCATGAGCTTTATTTCAGGAGAACATATGGAAACAGTCAAAAATATCTATCAAGCCCTGGCTGGTGTGTGTGGCTCAGTCGGGTGATGTCCCATACATCTAAAGGTTTCGGGTTCCATCCCAGGTCTGGGCGCATACAAGACAACCAGCTGATATCTGTCTCCCTCCCTCCCTCTCCCCCCACTTCCCCTCTCTAAAATTAACAAGCATGTCTTCAGGTGAGTATAAAAAATTTTTTTTAATGTTTTTAAAAATGTCTATCAAGCCCTGACCAGTTTAGCTCAACGGTTAGAGCGTCGGCCTGCAGACCAATGAGTCATGGGTTCAATTCCAGTCAAGGACACGTACCTCGGTTATAGTTCATCCCCAGCCCTGTTCAGGGTCGTGTGGGAGGCAACCAGTCAATGTGTCCCTCTCACACCAATGTTAGTCTCTCTCTCCCACTCTCTCCCTCCCTCACTCTATCTGAAGATAAACAGAAAAATATCCTCGGGTGAGGATTTAACAAAAAGAAAAATGTCTATCAAAATATGTATCTAAATTATTAGCATACTGCCTAAATTTAAATTCTAGCACCAAAGGACTAGAGTACATCAGCTACAACATTTAACATTCAGAGATCAGAAAACACCAGAACACAAGTCACCAGGTATTATCATTAACACTAACAAAATGAGGCTGGTATCTCCAAACAAAACAATAGCTTCTGTTTACTGAAAGCCTAATATATGGGCCAGGCAAGGAGTTAGACTAGTTACATAAATGTTTTTTAAAACCCCTGCTATAGGGAGGGTAGTCCCATTTCACAGACACGAGGCCAATGTCAGAGGGGACGGACGCCCAAGGCCACACAGCTAGTAAATGCCACCACCTGGGGTTGGAGCTGGGTCGGTCTGGCTCCACAGCCTGGGCCACTGTGGTGGCGACGTCGCCTATGACAGATGCCTCAGGACGGCCTGCACTGACCCCTCTGTGGACACTCGGACTTCACGGCACGACACAGCTCGCAGCTGCGCTTCAAGAACGGGATGATGTAGTAAGTTGTTAACATGGATTCCTACCAAGAGTATTCAGAACTGTATCTATGACACCGTGTGTACAACAAAATTCTAACTTTCTGAGTAAGATACACAAAGACACTTTTTAGAAATAAAGGTATTTCCCCCCAGTTAATCGAGAACTTAAACAGATTTTTTAAATCCTAAACATTTGAAACTAAAGATTTTAAAATATTTCTTACCTGTGATTAAACTTATGGCCAAAGGATATCCAGTCCTTTTCAATTAATACCTACACAAGAAAGAATATAAATATCATGGAGAGAGCACACCAGGAAAAATAAGAGACCACAACCAATAATGTTGAAGGATCAGGGGTTCTTGGAGCAGAGGTCAGTTTCGGGGGCGGCCTGCAAGGGAGCGAGCTCCCGTTATCCACCATGCAGAGATGTGTGTCAGAAGGGCAAGTGGGAACGGATATGTGACAGTGTTACTGTACCCCCACTGAGTGCTTTCTACGAGGCTGTTCATATTGCTTGATCGACTTTCACTGTAGGACAGGTATTACCAGCCTCGTTTTACAGAGGGGGGACCACGGAGGTCGGATCCTGGCCTAAGCTCATGCTACTGGGGAGAGCCCCCACCTCATCGCCCGGCCCCACACCACACCCTGTCTCTTAACCACCGTGACCCGCCCCTCAGCACAAGGTCAAACACCAGCCTTTCGAACAGAAACAATTAGGAAGGAATGTTTTCCGGTGAACTTTAACTTGACTGCACTTCAGAAGAACCCTAAAATCCAGTGGTCTGTACTAAACATTAGAAGAATTCTGAAACATCGGGGGCGCAGTCAGAGTTTCAGTCCTGCTTTGGTGTTTACTCATTTCATATTGTCTTTGACGTGACATGAAAAAAATGTTTAATAATAAAAAAAATGATGGAAAAAATGTTTAATAATACAAATAATCCCTTCAATGATACCAGCGCTCTAAACTGGCCAGAGGTTTCCCCCCAGAAAACGGAGTGTTTAACGGGACAGCGTCTGAGCCAGTGGTAAAGGCGGGGTGAAGGGGAGGCCCCCTGGTGGTGTGCACGACTGGAATCCCTCTGTGTCCAAAAGAGAGCGAAGGGATCCAGCCGCCAGCCCCAGGCCAGGGAGGGCTCAGACGCACAGCACTCAAGTCTCGGTGCGGTCCCAGGTCACTGGAAGTTCTCTGACACTCCGAAAGGAAAAGCCCGAGAGAGGAAACCTGCCTCGTCCTCCTGCCCAGCGTTCCAGCTACCACTGGATAAAGGTCTTCCAGCGGGGAGAGCCCACTTGGGCCGCCTGCCGGCATCTCTCCCTGGCCCGGGGTCAGGGCCAATCATGGCCGAGAGGCAGGAACCAGCTCTCTCTGTCTCAGGAGGCCCCGCAGGCATTTTGAGAATCCAGCTTGGCCAAAGCTGCTCCATTCCAGACAACTGCACACATTCCGCAGTTGAAAGCAACTTGTCACATTTTGATACCTAAAAGGTGCAGAATCTGCGAGGATGTACCCCTAGTTTCAGCAAAGACGACAAAAACACTGAAATGTTCAATATTATTATCCAGAGTTGTAAAGGATTACTTTTAAAAAGCTGTTAGTGGAAGTTCTTCCTCTCAAGGACTTTTTGCATGCTCGATATAGAAGGTTGTTTCCAATTTTTTTTCTAAAGTGTTTTTTTTTTTTTTTTTACATATTCACGCTATCTCAAACTTGAAATACCTACGAGCAAATGCTGTGTAAAATTCAAAGTGGAAACTACTGAATGTATTTTATATTTCCCCCTTCACAGTTAATAGCATTGGTTTTCATTGGTTCCAGCATCTCAGAAATTCACCCCTTCACTCCAAGCCTATTTCACCTTCCCCCCTTTAACTCATCTTGCTGATCTACTAAGAGAAGAACAGTGTCGATGAGGGACACACACGAAAAGTTGCCGATAGCTCGTTCAGGGCCCTGCGGGGAAGGCCGGGGGAAGGCCGGGCAGCCGCCTCACCATGAAGCCCTTCAGGGTCCGGTAGTGCGGGTCCAGCAGGAGGCTGGCCACGGAGCACACCTGCGCTGTCCTGTCCCAGCCGTCGGAACAGTGCACAAGCACACTCGCCCCTTCCTCTTCGACTGCCTGAAAAAGGGTCAGCAAGAATCCACCGAGAATGGCCATGAACACGGAAAGTCTCATCAGAACCAGGTTCGGATTTATACTTGCAGAAACAGACAACAAACAAAACCAACAGCTGCGCACTCAGTGCTCATGCCCCGTCTGATCAGGGCAGAGTCAAGGTCTGGTGCGGGTAGCGAAAGCTTTCTCCCCACTGCATCCAGAAGTGACCGCGTGGCCACCACTACTAAGCATATTTACTGCGTAACAGGTACCACTTGCTGTGCAAACATCTCCATGACACATCTCTCAGCCCACCTTCACCCCCTCCCCCGCCGGGGTTTCCACCTAAGCCTTCCCCACATTGAAATTCTGGGGCTCCTACTAGCATTTGCCATTTTCTAAAACAAGAAATGGTAAAACTACGAAATTAGAGATAAAAGGATAAGAGCCAAGTAATGGATCCAGGGTTGGGAATGGGGAGAAAACAAAGGTAAAAATTATAGCAGCAAGTCTCCGCTACGAAAAGAATTTTTGTTTGCAAATGAGCGTGCAAAATTTTAGCTCAGCAGCTGGACGGGAAACAGACTGGAAAACGGAGGTTTTGTCCGCACTCGTCACTACCTGAGCTACTGAGTCAGCCTCGGCCCCCGCACCACAATGAGCTCTGGGAGGAGACTCAGTCCACACTGCGTCCTCAGCACCTGGGAGGTGCGGGCGCTGCGGAAGTATTTGTTGAATAAATGAAGTGTCTAATAAAGGGGTGCATACCATGTCATAAGCAAAAACATGGTTGTCTTTAGGTATAAATCTAAGCGGATTTTATATTTAAGAATAAAAACCGCTGAACCACCAAACGGTGCATCCAAACACAGTTGTATGAAAGCTGCAGCAAGAGCCTTCCTGTGGCCGAACGGAACCTACCTGCCAGGTCCGGGAACATGCCTTTTGCTTCTGCCATCACCAAAAAGGACCGTTTACTTAGATAAAAGCCTCAGGCCTCCATCCCTGAAGTGACCTATATTTGGATGTAGTCTCCTGCAGAAAAGTCTTCCCTCCATCTAGGACCAAGCCTAACTGCAGAGAATATTCTATAACTATTTTACCACTTGGCCACTTTGCTGCCATAACTGTCAACTGAGCACTGACCTCTCTTCACAAAGTCTCGTCTTCAGAGGGCAAACCTGGTGGAGGTCTGCAGAGCAGCTCCCCACTCGGGTGGCCCAGCTGGGCAGCCGATGCAGAGGAGACGAGTCTCCACTCTGGAGTCAGGGTGTGCTGGCTGCTCTGCCCTTTGCTCCTTTCCTCGCAACCACATACCTTGGCAATGAAGATTCCTGCATCCATGATGGCCTTAATGTGCCTTAACCAGCCAGAGTTCTCCAGTCCCCACAGGAAGTCACTCATGGAGGGAGACTTCAGTTCACACACTGCAAGATAAGTCGTGTTATGTAAGTAAAATAAAGGCACTCTCGTTGTACATGGGATCATATTTGCAGGTAGTCTTCACTGTAGTATTTCTTCATTTTCTGGAAGACTTAACATCTGGATAAATGCCTCAGCTAACTACATGTGGTTCTGTTCAACCATTTCAGGTAAGGTTCTATCTTTGGTCACTCAACCCATGAAAACTGACGCTCCGAGATGTTAAAAATGTTAAAACACACAGTAACCAAATGGAAGGAGAGCACAAGTATTCTGAAAAGCAAGTCTAGAGATTTTGCCGTGGCTACCTTGATGGCTTATCAAGAAATAACAACAATAATAAAATTTAGAGTGCTTACTAGATGCCACACACTCTTCTAAGTGCTTTATATTAACTTTTAAATCTTCATTACAATCACATGAAGAAGGTACTATTATTATCTTCATTTGATAAAAGTGGAAACCAATGCATAAGAGAAGTAACTTGTCCAAGGTCACCAAGCTGACGAGTGACACTGGGATGCGGTCTGGCTGCAGGTTCGTGCACCGAAGCAGCGCTTCTCAGTCTCAGTTATGTGCTTTTTCATAATTCACACTTGGCCAGTCAGAATGCTCCACGGCTCCCGCACATGTGCAGCTTCGAGGTTATGCATTTTATCACTTTCTCACTTAGCATTGCATAGTCCAGTGTCCTAACCACTTGTCACACGTGGCTGTTGGGCACTTGAAATGTGGTAAGTCTGAACTGAGAGAGCCTATCTCAAATTTCAGACTTTGAATGCAAAAACAGAATGTAGAATGTGTGCTGAGTTTTCATACTGATTACATGTTGGAAAGGATGCAAAAATAGAATGTAGAACGTCTTGCTGAGTTTTCATACTGATTACATGTCGAAACTATAATTTTGGATATACTAGGTTAAATACAATGTATTATTGAATTAATTCACCCTTTTCTTTTTACTTTCTTTAATGTGTCCCCTAGGAAATGTAAAATTACAAACGTCGCCCGCACTTGGGACGTGGGAACTGTTCTCCGGGACAGCGGATCCCGATTGCTCGCGGAGGACGTGCCTGGTGAGCCGTGTTCCGGCGCGTGCCCCCCAGGAACTGTTAAAACGATGCACCTCTCGGGCACCCTGAGTAACGTACTGTCATAAGATGGACGGTGTGGGAAAGGGCGCGCTTGTCTTTTGTAAGGTGGCAAGGGGGCGATTAGGAAGGGGAGGTGGCAAGGAGACAGACACCAGGACTGACTAAGGCAGGTCACAGTTCTGGGAGGAATTCACAGAGAAGTCGATGCTCGGAGCAGACCCCAGAAAGCCTCGGCGATCTGCCTTTGACCTGCCCCTGAGCTCGGGGGTGCACCCCTCCGAAGACAGACCTCTGAATCTGCCAGCGCCCAGTTAAAAGTAAGCAACCCCTGCCCCAGCCTGCCCCTCGGTCTGTCCTGGTGACAGAGCCGAGCAGTACCACCGGGGCCCTCTGAGTGGCAGGCTGGCCTCTGCCTGTCACACAGCCCAGGGGAGGCATGGGAAATTCCAGCACCTTCTGTGAGTTCTCGCCACTCCCCGGGCGCCTGCTGCTTGGCCTTTCTGCCTAACCCCAGGCCATGACCCAAGTGTTCACTTAATCCTAAAGTATACACATTCCACCACGTACAGTCTCCGGACTCCACTGATGCTTCCAATCTTCACGGGGAATGTTCTCTTGCAAACAGTCTTTTCACCAGCAGGCCAACTCTTCCGGTTGTTATGATAGGGCTTAGGGTGAGTCAGCGAAAAGACCAGGGAGCCTGAGGGATATCTTGGCATCTAAACTCTCAGCTCAGCCCAAGAACAAATGATCCTTTTCACCTTTTCTTCCCCACAAGGCAGGGAAATGACAGCAAGTTAAAAATAAAGCACCAGGCTTTGCATCACCGGTGCCAAAAGCAAGACCGGAATGATGGCTGGAGAACAGCCCTAAACCGGCCTGCCAGGGGGAACCTTCCAGCACAGGGAAAGCTCAGGCCCCAGGCCGCCCCGGAACGGCTCCTGGTTGAACATTTCTGCCTCAGGAGCATTACGCTGCACCTAACCTCACCAGGTTTGCAGGCAAGGTCACTGCTTTGCGAGCCCCGCCCCCGTTGTCTGGGGTGTTAAAAGCAAACAGTGCTACAGATGATTAATACACAGGGACAGATGGGGGTGCACTGGAGACTGGGACAATCAGTGCTGAAGTTTTTAAATACAAAACTGGTGGGTGTGTTTGGATAAACTCAGGATAAGGCAGAAACACTGATTTGTTCACTCTTGTTGCCAAACCCAAACCAATATTTACAAAGCATTTTGCTGAACGAAGTTCATTTCAGCTGACATCAGAGGCCTGTGCCACGGATTACAGAGCTGCACTAACTAACCAGCAGTTTAATGCCTAGGGCGAGTAGTGTTTTACAAAACAGGGCAACTTACCCCATAAACATATATAAATGACACTAGCATATATATGTAATCATGGAAACCAAGGAAATAAGAAGTTGACTTGGAAGAAAGTGAGCCTCAGATGATCTTCCTTGAGTGTTTCCCGCACCGATCTCACCTCTTCCTCTGGGGTTGTTGGGTGGGTGCCAGTGAGGGCGCAGGGACAATCTTCTTGAACCCCAGGGGACTGGTCTTGTCTCCTAAGATCTGAAGTTGACATGTACACGGCCCTGCCTTAGTTATCAGACCTGACACACAGCCGAGTTCTGCTAAGTGAGTTTTATTCCTTGATTTTGGAATCAATCCCCATGAAGTGGTCTTCGAAGAACTGGCAAAATGATAGTGACCTCCCTTCACTGAACATCCTGGCCAGTGAAACCATTCAGAGGACTTCATTATGGCTGAAAAATGGAAATGTGTGCTTAAGCCTGGTCACAGCCTCCCCTCCCCTTTCACTTGGCCACCGTGGTGGCAGGAGAAACTTCCGAGCCCTGCGGTGAGCTGTATTCAGTTCGTTAATGTTAGTGGTGCTCTTGTCCCTGCCTGTCTCAACAAACACAGGCCCTCTTTATAGGGAACTTTTGATGATGATTCTTTAAAACAATACCGGCTTGGCCCGTGACGCTGTTCTTTGGAACCGCTGTACAAGAATGCCACGAAGGCCGTTTTTGCATCACCTTGTTTCCTCTTAAAGGCTGACGATCATGTAAAACGGTAAGGCGCAATCAAGGCCGCGTTCTGCATACATTTGTTAGCATTGCCTGCGTCAGTAGCATAGAAAACAGTGTCCGCAAACACACACATGCACAAATGTGTGTGTCCAGAGACTAACAAACACGTGTGTGTATAAATGCATGCACCCACACAGGTTCCAATAAAACTAATGACCTCTGGCCTAAAGAAAATCAAGCAGCAGTTTCACCAAAGAATTTTCTATTGGCATTTATTAGCTTTGCAAGTGAATTTTGAGTCTAAAGACCCAACCTTCAGCAAACAAATTTTAAAATGTATGTGCCAATTTATATTACATTTGCCACGTGTAAGGCCCGGAACTTGGTTTTCTCTCAAACTCCCACATACAGTAGAAACTGTGATCTCACTTTAGAGAGGAGCAAAGGGCTCCACCATGGGTGGCCAGCAAGGACACTGGGATAGTAATCTAGTTCCCGGACTCCAATGTCCATATTATTCTCTCTACAGATAGAGTCTTAATCAGACTGAGCAGGATGAACAGGAACTGAAGTAAAGGTGGGGCTTATGGAGTGTCAGAGTCCGAACAGGACATGTCAAACAGATGGCAATGAGGACGTCCAGCCTGGGAGACAGTGCTGAGAGGCTAGGGAGTCGGGCGGATATAAAATACCAGCGGCAGCCACTGGAGAGAAGGCCCAGGAATCATGAAAGATGAAGATGTTGGCAGCGAGTAGCTGACGTGGAGACATGAGCAGCGTGTGCCACAGCAGGTGGGGACTCATTCCACACTAATCACATCAGCAAGGATGCTGCCAGGGCCAACACGCTCATCACATCTCAGACTCTGGTCCCTGGCCAGCAAACACAAAGCTGCTAAATCCCAACCACCACCTTATGGAAAAACAGCTCACCTTGCCACTAAAATTAATCATGTCTATCTTTAGTTTCATGGGAGACACTTTCTTCTATAAGCTCTCCTTTCATAAATATCCCAGTTATCCAAAACTAACTGTCATGATGAACAAAATATGAAACAATTTATATGAGGGTGTACATTTTTAAATTCATCTTTGAATGGTCCTGGTGAACAGCAAGATAAAGCAGAATTAGGATAAAAACAGCCACTGTTCCCTCATTAAATCACTTTGTTTTGTCCTGTGCTCTCCTTTGATAATGTCACCCAGAGCTGAATTTTGCAGCTTTGACATGCAGTTAAGACTTTCAACCACCCCTCTTACCCTGGGACGGCCCTCAGTGACGTTGCTAAGCCAACAGCACCTTCTCCTCCTGCCATGATTGTTGCTCTATATCAAAACCAGTTACTTCGCTTTGCGTTAATGAATGAAGCGGTTTTTCTATTCAATGCCTAACGTATAGACTCTCAATAACTGTCTGACAAACGGGTGAACGTCTGAAATAACTCTGTTAGCTCCTATGGACTCACTATAAGCAGGTATTGTGCCTGATCCTCTACCTGAATTATCTACCACATAGGGTATTATCTACTCCCAATTTTCAAATTGGAAAGTATGATTTAAGAAGGTTTACTAAGTCATCCATGGTGACACAGCCAGTAAATAACTGAGCTGGAATCCATTCCCCAGCACACATACCCATCGGGTCATGCTCATTCCTCTGTCCCTTAGTGCTTAAGGTATTATTGTCTTCATTAGCTGATACCACACAGCACTCATCAGCCACACTCTACATCTTCTTACACTACCACAGACAAAGGACACACTCTTGGTCCATTTCTTTCCTCCGAAGACCATGCTCTGGTAACTAGTGAAACCTGACAGGACACTCATTAAAAAGCCTGTAACTGTTATTGCTATGTGAAGCTATCTAGTTCCACTCTGGTGGAAAGAAACCCATGCCATGTCGCTAAATTTGTACGGTAATGACCAGAATTTCAGCCAGGTCTTATTGGCTGTCTTATATGTAATAGGTCAGTACTCTGAGGAAATTAACAATGGTAAAAAGTCAAAATATGGAGAACTTATTATAAACGAGTAACTCTTCTGTAGCCTTTCATGAGCACATATCTGGTAGAATCTCACAGTATAAACTTGTAGACAATGTAACAGGAAACACTGTAAAATGAAAAACTTAAATATGAATTCTCTATAATGGGTTGAACTCTTCCATTTCTTCCAGGTAGAATTAGCCATCACCTCGCAAAGACAGAGATGAGGAAGAAAGTGTCAAACAAAAAGGACATTTGAACTGATTAGCCACAACAATGACTCTCTGAGCAGAGAGCGATGTGTCATGGAAACCATGAAGCTGGGTGTAAGGGACTGTTCCCTTCTAGACCTGGTGTGCCCAAGTCAAGTTAGCAGGGAGACCAGAGGAGCTGCATGACCATAACTCCCACTGCAGGGACACCTCCCACGACAAACCGGACATTCTCTGCCTTCAACCATCCCTTCTACAACCAAGGAATGTTCTGAGTAATCGGGCCCCAGAACCTCCACACACAAGCACAGATCAGATACGATCGCTGGGGCCACAAAATGACCTCCATGGTCAATGCCCACAATTCCGGGGCGTAAGACAAACATGGTTCCAGTGTGGGGGCCGCTGCTTGGTCCCTTCACTGCAGGACTGCCCAGCCTGCGGGGGACACTGGCCGTGCTGCAGTGGGAGCCGCTCCAGCTGGCCGCGCCCGGCTGATGGTGCCTGGAAAACAACCTGCCGAGGAAACGCCCACGAGGCCTGGCCTGTGGCTCAGTAGACTGTTCTTCATGAAGTTGCTGCGCGGACTCGGACCCCACCACGAAGCAAGCACTTCCGTGCCTTGCACACTTTGCTGCTCTGCCCCACGACTCGCATAAAGGAACTGAGGAAAGTCACCTGTAAGAAGGCACAGGGCCTAGCAAACACTTGCCTGGCTGGATTGGTCTACGGCCCATTAGCTCACCCATTGTCCTCAGTGCTTACTTTAAAGTGCAGCATTGCTTCCCAAGAGCAGAACGCACGCGACGCTGGAAAGCACTTGATGGTTTGCAAGGAAACTTTTTAATAAGTCTGTGAGTTAGACTGTTGATATACTGCTTCTACTGCTTCACAAATACAGGAAAGGGGGTCTGTTCGTATTTACTCCGAGATTAAGGTAAGAACCCAAACAGAGATCCTCAGACCCTTAGGTCAAGCTCCCTTCTACCCAACCGCTCTCTGGAGAGGCCCAAAGCCAAACGGTAAAGAGGATGGCATCTGGATTCATACTGACTAGGTGGAAATCGGTTCTACCCCTTACTGTTGTGAGTTTGCACAAATTTCTTAGCCTCTTTGCCTCAATTTCCTCATCTGTAAAATGGGAATATTAAGAATAGCTACACCATGATTGCAATGAAGATTACTTCAATACATATATCTTAACATATTATGAGAATATAAAAACATCTTAAAATAGTAAAACAGATTAAGCATTACATTGCTCCATAAATGTAACACTATCACGTAGGGTGCTTATTTGTTACAAATATCGTAACAACAAATCGCCGAGGACCACTGGCACGCAATGGGAAGTACTAGGCTCTACTTCTGCTTTGCTATGTCATTCTAGGAAGAAAGTGTTTTTTAAAAGTGGCATAAAAGTTGTTTTTAAGTGCAATATACCATACTCTGTAGCCAGAGAGAGGCATGCCTTGAAAAAATAGCCTGCCGTGCTGTGGACAGCACTGGAGGACACCTGGCAGCAGCCTCTGGACCTGCGGGTGGCCCCCAGCTGACAGCCACCGTGCTCAGGCCCTCTTCTGAACTCTGCCCACATCCCGAGCAAGCCTGGAAGCAGACTCCCCCATCCCAGCATCCAGATGACGGTGCAGCCCGGCCGACACCTTAATGCTGCAGCCTTGTAAGACCCTGGGCAGAGGCTCCCTGGATCCCATGTATAAGATACATACCCAGACTCCTGACTCACGGAGCTGAGAGATGATGTGTACTGGGTTTTTTGTTTGTTTTCAGTGTAATATACCAACCATAGAGAGTATTTTATAAATAAAGAAGCAAGAAGAAAAAATTGGACAGTTATCCTTCCATGCTAATCTGATTATTTCTGGCCATTCTCTCCTAGTCTTTCTTCATGAGTATGATTTACCATAGTAGATCGAAGCGTCTGTACAAGGACGGCCGTCTGAAGGAGGACAGGCCTCGGAAGGTGGGCTGATTGCATCACCTCATCAGCTGAGGCTCCAGTGGTTTATAATTTACTCGGTGAAAACAGAGGCAAACATTGGTCAGTCCCCTGACAGGCACCCAGAGAGCTGTCCTTGCGCTGGCACTGACAGAACTGGAGAAGCGATGCAGGACCGCGGTAACTTGTTCCAGAAGGACTCGCTCAGCGGGCACGTCCTTCAGAGTCAGCCCCTGGGCATGAGGGCAGGAGAAATGGTCCCTGATAAGAAACCAAACGCAGGCTAATCTTAAAATGAAAGCCAAAGTGATGCTCTACACACTCCTGGGAGCCACTTTCTGCATAGGAGATGTGCGTTCTCCAGGGTCAGCTTGTGAAATTATTACTAAATGAAAAGTAGAGAGAATAGCAACCTCGATGCTTCTAAGAAAGATGAACACTCTTCACTGGCAGGACCAAGCAAGCCCAATGTTTCAAGCCCCCAAAGCACAGGGACAGCCAAACTGCCTAGGGCACTCTCCAGGGTTTGGGAAGCTCAGACAGGCATGCCAGAGCCTCCTCGCCACGACCTGACCTGGGCGAATTTCCCGAAATGCCCGTGGAAGTCGGAGACGGAGATGGTCTGGGCCCATGATGTCTTCAGCTGCAGAAAGAGATTTCTTCTAACCACTCAAATGCTCCAGGTTCAAGCGTCTGCACCCAGGGCATCAAATTGGAGATTCACAGCTGTCACAGAGGGAAGGGCCCTAGAAATCAGTCAGCTCAACCTTCTCATTCTACAGCAAGTAACAGAGCCCCGAGATGGTTCAGTTTCACGGCTGAGACGCCCCGAGGAACCCAGGAGAGAGGATGGAGACTAGGCCTGTCTGCGCCCCTCGGTCTCTCCCGCCCCTCCATCCGGCTCTCGCTGCGGCCTGTTCTGACCAGGCAGAGAACCGCCTAAGGAACTGACAGCAAGCGTGCATCCTGGGAAAAGTCACGCAGCACCTCCTTTGTCCCTCTTCACCCCAGCCCCCCGTCCTGTTCAGACAGCCACGGCCTGCACTCAGCGCCACCTCCCCGGGCTGACCGCCTCCGCAGGTCCCCGGACACACGTCCTCCTCGTTCCTGCAGTTCGGTTCCCACGAGCCCCAGGAGTCCTTGGCCATTACACTCACGGGGAGCATGAGCAGTAAATGAAGCTGGTTTTGCCTGAAATGCAGTATATTTCTGCTAATCAGCTTACAGCTTGTTTGGCCACATGAACAATTCCTCTGTGCTACATAATCCATCACTGTCGAGTCCTTCGCCGTGTGGCGGTGTGAGGCCCCGGTGCGCGTGACTGTGGGGTGCTCTGCTGTGGGCCTCGGCCAGGTCTCCTGAGGGGCGGGACCACGCCCCCTGCCCCCTCCCGACGGCCCTCGGCCACTCGGATTCAGCTTATGAACCTCATCTCCATGCAAGAGCAGCGGGTTGTCGCTGTGCCTCTAGGATTGCTTTATGTGGCTCAAACTGGTAGTCGAGGGAGGGTGCCTGGCTGCTGACCAGGTCCCAGGGACACAAAACTAAGACAAAGGCTGTGGAATGTTGGAGGAGTCACTGCAATATGCTAGTCTTCCCAAAGCATCCCCTGGAGGTAAACAGCATCATTGTAAAAACAAAACAAAACACACACACACACACACACAATTTTAACATCAAAAAGACTGTCCTATTCTGTATTGGCATTAAAACATTTAACTGCATTTTTAAAAATGTTGTGTGCACAGGAAGTGGTTTACCTTCCAGCATTTTCTGCAGACTGTTCCTCATGACATGGATGTTCTCTATCCCGATAAACTGGAACTTGATGTTGGAATAATTGTCTTCATTCTCGTAGCCTTTCCCAGCAGCACGGTTGGCCATGGCATTCAGCTGCAGGGGTCGGCAAAACAGAGCAGTCACCGGTGACATTCAGGACATGAAACCACAGCACGTGCTGTGGTTATCCCTACAAACTTGCAAAAGGACGTGCACAGTTATAACATGTTTTCCATCACTGGGGCACTGTACTGAGCTGTGTGGCTCCAGACGCCGTCCTCAGCTTGATTTTGACAACAAATTTGTTGACATGGGGAACATATTCTGAGCTGGGGAGCCGCAGTCTATGGATAAACCCTCTGGAGACACCTCTTGCAGTTCCCTGTCCCAAACTCCAAAGAAAACATGTCAGAACCAACCTGCCCAATTTAATACCAAACATTATCATCTGTAGATTGGTAGAAGAATCTCAGCAGACACAGGAAACGTATTAAATACAGACTCTGCCCTTGTCCTGCGTAACTAAAATCAGGAAGGGGACAGTCTTGCCTTAGCTCAGAAATACAGAGAATTCTAGGAATCTCTGTATTTCTGAGCTATTTGACCTGGAAAACAGTCACTGGCCGTTGTCTTCCTCTGTCCACAAAGGACAGGGGTTGTCCCAGGCACAGAACTGACACCAGGGACTCATCACCAGAAAAAATATCAATTTTTAGGACCACAATGCAGGACTGAGAGGATTTTAATAAATACTTTTCAAAAAGCTAAGCTAAGGCTAAAAAGTTAAGTAAAAAAAACATACATATTCTTTGATTATGAGACCCTAACACAATGAAAAGTATCAGCACATAAAGATAGATGTCCAAGAATGTTTATTGCAACTTTTTTTATAACAGCAAAATGCTGAAAACCTATGAGTATCTCAACAGGGCAATGACTAGATAAATTCATGCCCTGGCTACTAATAGGACCGAGAAAAACACACATTATGTAAGTATGTATATATGTTGCATGTATGTACCTACCTACCTACTATCTATCTACTGACAGACAGACAGACTTGGAATTGGCCCACAACATCAAGTGAAAAGAGTAGGCTACAAAATAATTCTGCAATGATGCCATTTGTGGTCAAACCAGCCAACCTACGGATATGTGCTTGTGTTTCCGCATGTCTGATGAGTAAACGGTATGGGAGACTGTACCAATTTGGCACGAGCTATAGCAGAAAGACAGGTGGCAGGTGATGGGGGCACCAGCAATACTACTTTAGGGACTCCTGTGGTCCTTGTTACAAAGATGAGATACTAGGTTTAGAATTTAAATGACGAAGTAAAATGTTTTAGAAGTGAGACATAAACCAAACAGCCACGTGGGGCTCCGGCCGGCAGACACGTCACATTTCCACAGCGGCCCTGCTCCGTGACGGCTCGTGACATCAGCTAGGTCACGTCAGTTTCTCAGGACCCCTTTTCCAGTGTACAAAAGAGTGTCACCTTCCTCCCAGTCATGCTATAAGAACAAAGGGCTTAGCCTTCATCAAGAAAAAATATTATAATAATTCTATTTTTAAAATATGTTTCTTTTTTTTAATCTCAGGAGAGGAAGGGAGAAGGAGAGGGAGCTGGAAACATGGATGAGAGAGAGGCATCGACAGGCTGCCTCCTGCACACCCCCTCCTGGGGATCAGCGAGCCCACCATCAGAGCATGTGCCCTGACCAGAACCCAATCAGTGACCTCCTGGTGCATGGGATGATGCTCAACCAACTAAGCCACACTGGCCAGGTTAAAATAATACTTTTTTAAAAATCCTCACCTGAGGATATTTTGCCATTAATTTTTAGGCAGAGGAGAAAGGGGAGACGGAGAGAGAGAGAGAGAGAGAGAGAAATATCGATGTGAGAGAGACACACAGATTGGTTGCCTCCTGCACCACCCTGACCAGGGCCGGGGATAGAACAAACCTGAAACAGAGGTACGGGCCCTTGACTGGAAATTGAACCCGAGACTCTTCAGTCTGTGGGTCGATGCTCTAACCACTGAGCCAAACTGGCCAGGGCAAATAATGCCATTTTTAAAACAACTTAACATTCATACTTTAAAATGTTTAAATATTTTAATTGTTTAAAATGTTTAAGTAAATTATCTTTAGATATTATTATTAAGAAACTTACTATTATATTACTACTTTGTATGAATATGTTTCAAAACTGTTCACTTCTCCTTTACAACAAGCTTCATAAAATAAAATGATTACTAGGATGATTGTAAGTATCCTCCTGTTACCTGAACTGTAGTTTTATTCTCTATCTTGAATAATTTAAGTTAAACCTACTCACCTCATGTTGCAGAGATACTCTTTTTAAACAGTGCAATGAATAAACCCAAAATACTATTATTATTATTATTATTGTTATTATCTATAGTTAGGAGTCTGTTCACATTTTTACATAGTCAATTACCTATAACCTGGGAGAATGTGCTGGTAGTCTTGAAAAGCAAAGAAGCAACATCAGATGGCACATTGAACGTCACTGGCACTTCTCAGAGTGCACAGGAGGTGGCACTATGTACCCTACCATCCAAAGTGTACTTTCTCAAGGTCTCCACATATTTCCAAGGACCTAACATGATAATGTGGCAAATATTAAGCAGGAAATACAGTTTTAAAATACATAAAAATTGAAGAAGTTATCCTGGACCTACTACATAATGTATATATATTATATAGAGATTCAAATGAAGTGTCCCTTATATAACAAAACACTATTAGTAAATTTAATTTGGTCCCGTCCTTTTGGCTGAGAATTTCATTTCACAACCAGAGGCAAAGCTATTCATTTCACTTCCTAAAAACCCCCAAGTAGATACAACAACGAAGGTAACAACATTCCCAGTTCCATTTATGCGTAAGAAACACTACAGACAAATGAAAAGTGGAACTGGATAAAAGTGCCGTTTCTAACCCCAGATCACTCTGCTGCTTGGTAATCTCAGCATCTTTGGTTGCAGAAAAGCGTATCAATGAAACAAAAGAAACCTACTCATCCCTCAACAAACACTTAATGAACACCTACTGTGTGCCAGGCACGGAGCACAGTAAAAAGACGAGTAAGAAGCGGTTCCTACCACCATGAGCTTATCACCGGGCGTGGCAGGGCAGCTCATAGCACCAAACAGCAGGCCTGGGCAGCAGCTGAGTGACCGGAGGCCGTGGCAGCTCCATGTGGCCTAGGGGGTCGGGGGAACGTTTCATGAAAGAAGGAGGACTTGAGCCAGACTGGAATAACGTGGAAGGATGGAGAGAACAGGAAGGGCATTCCAGATAAAACAGGGAGGACGAGAGGAGGCGGGGGTGAGCCACCAGGAGCAGCGGGGCAGGAGGTGCATGCGTGGTGGCAATACAAGAGAAGCTGGGAGATCAGAGACCACCAGCAGGCCTGGGCCACACATTTAGATGTTGTCTGTGGCACTGGAGAGCAACGGACGGGTTCTCAGCAGAACTAACGGCACAACTGGAGTGTCATCGTCCATGATGTGGAAGACACGATGGCGGAGGACACAATGGAAGGGGTGGAGGACACAATGGAAGGGGTGGAGGACACAATGGAAGGAGTAGAGGACACAGTGGAAGGGGCGGAGAACACAATGGAAGGGGTGGAGGACACAATGGAAGGAGTAGAGGACACAGTGGAAGGGGCGGAGGACACAATGGAAGGGGTGGAGGACACAATGGAAGGAGTAGAGGACACAGTGGAAGGGGCGGAGGACACAGTGGAAGGGGCGGAGGACACAATGGAAGGGGTGGGGTGGAGGACACAATGGAAGGGGTGGAGGACACAATGGAAGGAGTAGAGGACACAGTGGAAGGGGCGGAGGACACAATGGAAGGAGTAGAGGACACAGTGGAAGGGGCGGAGGACACAATGGAAGGGGTGGAGGACACAATGGAAGGAGTAGAGGACACAGTGGAAGGGGCGGAGGACACAATGGAAGGAGTAGAGGACACAGTGGAAGGGGCGGAGGACACAATGGAAGGAGTAGAGGACACAGTGGAAGGGGCGGAGGACACAATGGAAGGGGTGGAGGACACAATGGAAGGAGTAGAGGACACAGTGGAAGGGGCGGAGGACACAGTGGAAGGGGCGGAGGACACAATGGAAGGGGTGGGGTGGAGGACACAATGGAAGGGGTGGAGGACACAATGGAAGGAGTAGAGGACACAGTGGAAGGGGCGGAGGACACAATGGAAGGAGTAGAGGACACAGTGGAAGGGGCGGAGGACACAATGGAAGGGGTGGAGGACACAATGGAAGGAGTAGAGGACACAATGGAAGGGGTGGAGGACACAGTGGAAGGGGCGGAGGACACAATGGAAGGGGTGGAGGACACAATGGAAGGAGTAGAGGACACAGTGGAAGGGGTGGAGGACACAAGCTTCGCCAGGCGCTGTCGTTCTTGTTTACGTCCCCGACTGGGCACAGGACAGGCACTTGGTGAAGATTTATTGACTGGCTAACCCCCAAGAAAATATCTGAATAATGAAATGACGTTGACAGGTGAACAGTCTAAAAGTCTGAAGAAATCGAATCAGATTCCTCCCCTAACCCTAAGCCAACCAATCAAACATCGAAACCATGAAAACTTCGTCAACAATCGTCTGCTATCAAGTTAAAGGTCAGCCTGGTCACTCTCTGAGTGTTGGAGCCTCAGGTTTCAGCAGAGTACATTCTACACCTGAATAATAACAAGCCTATCTTCAGCGGTTGGGAAATGAGAATGGAAGTTGACCTTGGCAGGAGGGGGACTGGGCCACCTCTTAGCACAGGGTGTCAAATGATAGTCCTTTTCTCTCCCTCCCTCCATAACTGCTGCAATGAAGAACCTTAAACTGTAAGATAAACATGGAAATAGAAGATGATTTTATTTCTTGCAACCACGGTCCGTACCTGTGCTGGTCCAAACCCCCCTTTCCTACCTACTAAGGACATTGTAAGTGGAACGGAGCTAGGACACCACCACCCAGCGGGGTCAAACTCCAGTCCCACGTATGATGCAAAATAATCTTTCCCTCCCTACAGGCTATTTGGACTGGTGAGGGGTCTGCTCTGACCCCCCCCCCCCTTTTCTTCTTTCTTCTGCGCTCTGCCTGTGTCCTGGGAAAGGGGATCAGGGAGCAGCCATACGAGGTACACATATCACTCTACAGCTGGACAGCACGGCCACTCTCCCCCGGCAGTCATGGCTTTTGTGGTGAACACTTACTGACCACCACTGCCCCCTGGCTGAGAGGCCCAATGCTGACTCTCCTGGGCGCCCGGGGGCAGGAGGCACACAGGTCCCTGACGGGCTATCCGAGTTGACCTGAGCCTGTTCCACCCCCCTCGGTATTGCTCCCCAGCATGTAACCCACAGTCACTGCGGCGGGAGCCTCCCCTGGGCGAGCCCTCGGGGGAGGGGTACCAGCCTGACAGCGCATGTACAGGTGCAGCCCCCTTCCTCGGGGTTCACCTGACCCACGACGAAGTCCTTCCTCCTCGTCCCACTGAGAAGAGCAGACTGCTCCACCAGCGTCTGCCCAGTTCCCTCTCCCCTGCTCACTGCCACAGTGGCCATCAGTAAGGACACTCCATGCCCCCCAGAAAATGAGGGCCTAGCTTCTCCTCTTTGGGGACCTCACCGTTTCCAACTGATTCTCTTAGATCCCACCTCACAGGACTCAGTGAATAGAAACCACCTAATTACTGATTCCAGAGAAATGAGAAAAACGTCCAACGCACCACCCTATTACACAACTAAAAAATCACTCGGATGACAGAGAGAAACGATAACCACGAGCTGTCTTTGAAGGGGGTCGGGAGGCTGAGCATCGGAGGCAGGAGCCTGCGCCCCTCCCCCCTTCTCATATGGCTGCCCCTTCCTCCCGGGGTGCTGGCGTCAGTGCAGCCCAGAGCCCTTCCTGTCCTCCAGTCTCGGCCTGGTTTTGGATGAGCTCGGGGTTGGTTCTTCAGCTCAGAATCTCCAACTTCGTCGGGTACGTGCTCAGAGGGTGACCCTCCTGCGCCTGACAGTGGCCCCCAGGCTCCTCCGGAGAATTCTGTGGGCAGACAGCACCGTGGAAGAACAGGGGCCCGGGCCTGGGATCTGGGCTCTGCCTTGAACTGGGTGACCTCGTGTGAATTACTGAACCTTTCTAAATCTAAGACCTTAAGCATAAGAACACCTCCTAATTTGCAAGATTATTATAAGAATTAAATGAGAATGAGCCTGCCCTGGCTGGTTTGGCTCAGCGGTTAGAGCGTCGGCCTGCGGCTCAGAGAGACCCGGGTTCGGTTCCCGCTAAGGGCATGTACCTCGGTTGCAGTTTGTCCCCACCCCTGGTTGGTCGTGTGGGTGGCAGCCACTCGATGTGTCCCTTTCACGTCAATGTTTCTCTCTCTCTCTTCCCCTCTCTCCCTCCCACTCTATCTGAACAACAACAACAAAAAAAAATGGAAAAAATGTCCTCGGGTGAGGATAAAAAAAAAAAAATGAGAATGAGCCTGGCATTTACAAGCTCAGCAAAGTCCCACAAGTTGATGATGAAGTTATGATCAAGGCTGAGATAATATGATCATCTCTCACTTTATGATTCACAACTATGGCATCAACTCTATTTCATATTTTCCTAATGCTCTAAATCCTGCAGTAATAGATGACCTGTTGAATGGATATAGTTCTGTTGAATGGATATTCAGTACATGCTGAGGACCTCATCGCCTTTACCCTACCCCTAAGATTTTAATGTCAACAAGTAATTCAGCAGGTTTTCATCTGAACAGGCAGCATCTGGGGTGAGCCTTGCTCCAAGGACAAGAATGACCCAGGTTGCCTCCTAACCCTTTCTCTGTTTAATTAAAACTGTGAGCAACCTGGGCAGGATCCCATTAGCCACTGCCCACCACCTATAACAGACGCGGACTCCATCTCTGGGCAACCGGTGGAGTCTAACACTCTGGAACCAAGATCAACAGACATGATCTGTAAAAGCATGAGCGCTCTCAGCAAACAGTTGCAACCTCGTGTGGAGGGCGTGTGTGGGCAGGCAAACACGAGGAGAGGGCACCCCTGCCCATGATATCAATTTTCTTTAATGGATCAGCACGAAACTTCTTATCGCGGAGAGTAAACACACTCAGTGCTAAATATACTCTTCCAATCAAATACTTGGGATTAATTTATCTTAAATCTGGCATATGCCCCGCTCAACAGCTGCCACATTTCCTGGAAGGTTTACATAACATAGAATACACTCGGCTCCCTGGCCCTTAAATTAGCAGGCGAAGCTGCTTGCCTGTGTTTAAATCTGGGAAAACAGGAGGGGAGAGGGCATCCCAGCTGAGGAGAGCCCCTCTCTTCCTTCTCTGTTCTCATCTCGTCTTCGGTATAGCTGTCTGAGAAGCAGGCCTCCACGAACCCTCTCCTGACCATCCGGGAATCAGAACAGCTCCACTTAACTTTCACAAAAGGCACGATGATCAGGAGGGAAAGCAGTCAGGGTGAGAAGGACGGGGTCAGAGCAAAAGGAACCAGAAAGAAAGGCACAAATCGAAGGAAAGCAGGAAGTCAGAGAGCTTCTGGCATCCGTGGGTGAAAATCATCAAGCAGAGAACCTGTTTTAACGGGGTCTGAAGCACGTACCTACAGGTAGTGCTTTGAGAACTTATCTGAGAAGAAGGAATCCTCTCCACAGAGTCTGCTGGAACGTGGTCTGTGACACCTTCTCATCACTAATCACGCCCACGGCTCACCCACACCCACCCCACAGCCGCCTCCCATCAGCGGCACTGGGAACTTCTCTGAGGTCAAGGGTATGAGTACGCCCCTGATCCGACTCTAGGAGGACATCAAATTAAGTGACCCAGACCATGAATCACAACACTTGATGACATGAGACTCAAGGAAGCAGTGAAAATCACCAGGGTCTGAGGGTCTACACAATGGACGGTGTCCAGTTCTCACAATTTCTCGTATCACCCACGAGTACAGACTATGTCTATAATTACCTACTCTTTCATTTATTTATTTATTTTCTATTTTTTTAGAGAGAGAGAGAAACACTGACATGAGAGAGACACATCGATCGGCCACCTCCTGCACACCCCCTACTGGGGATGGAGCCTGCAACCAGGCATGTGCCCTGACTGGGAATCAAACTAGGCCCTCTCAGTCCATGGGACGATGCTCAAGCCACTGAGCCTCACCAGCCGAGCTATCATTACCTACTCTTAACACCAGTATATACTTTTAAATGATGGGCTTCTGGTCATATTTACTCTTTCCTGTTCTACTACGACTTACGTCCTTCTGTTCTTTTTTAACATTGCTCGTTGACATACGCTCAATTCATCCATTTAGTGTACAACTCAACGGTGTTTGGTATATTCACAGAATGATGCCACCGCCACCACAACCTATTTTTAGAACATTTTAATCATCCCAAAAAGAAACACTCTATCCAGGAGCTGTCACCATTTCCTCCTGTGTCCTAGCCCTAGGCATCCACCAATGTACCCTCTGTCACTACAGATCTGTCTGTTCTGAACATTTCATATGAACAGAATCATACAGTGTGTGACCCCTGTGACTGTTATCACTTAGGATAACATTTTCAAGGTTCATCCACGTTGTAGCATGTATCAGTACTTCCTTGATATACCCAAATAATATCCCATTGCATGGATATACTACATTTTATGAATCTCTTCTCAGATGAACATTTGATTGTTTCTGTTTTGGGCAATTATTAATAATGAATACATATTCATGTACAAGTTTTTATTTGGACATTATGTTTTGATTTCTGTTGAGTTAGGAGTGGAATTACTGAGTCATGTAGGAACTACATTTAAGGTCACTGTGTTCTGTTAGCCTTTTATCATTACAAAATTTTTCAAACTATAGTTTATAAAGTAAAGGTTTCTTAAATTCCTCCCTCATCCCAAAGGGAAAACCATGGTATTTAACAGTTCGATATATATACCCTCACATTTTTTTCAACGCATAGGACAATATATAATTTTTATAATGTAATAATTAATACATACATGGGATTACATTATACATATTTTCCCACTTTTCACTCTTATTGCTTAATAGTCTATCTTGGCCACCTTTCCATACCCATCTGGAGCGATACAGCTGCATGTACCTCTTTCTCATCAGTCATGGGTCAAGGTATATTTTCATTATTGGCAAGAAATTATACTGCCAAATATATTGATTAAGGGCCATTTTGATCTGTATACTTCATGCACATATATGTGATTTCGTTTCCATGTATTCATAGCATATCCCTCTGAGGACTCCATTTGTTGACTGGTTTACAGAAAGCGGATCAATGGAGTGAAATTGGGAATTGTCTTGGACCCAACGCTAACTACAGTTAAAATGTACAGCTGCCTGCAAGGTACGTGTGAGGCGGATCTGGCTGGCACCTCAATGCCGAGATCCATTATTCCCTGTTGGTTGTTTTATTAAACTATAAAGTAGTTATATGAATACCTGCATAATTATAAAATAATGTTTTCAAACGAGAGACAAATAGAAAGTTCTTACCTCCCCCAATCCTCTCTTCTCTATGGAATTTTAATAGGTTGGTGTTTATCCTTCTAGTTTTCTATTTTAAGAGAAATTTTTATATATCTATCATTTGTCTTTATTTTGTTTTTTGCAAAAACACAATAGTATACATATTATTCTGTGGCTTTTCTTAACATTATATTTTGTAAATCTTCCCTAGATAAAGATTATTACAAGCTGAATTTGAAATTGTATAGCTGAACACCTCACAAACATTGAACTGCGGAAACTCTATAGCAAATTTCATATTGTTGGAGGTAAGTTTATTTTATTTTATTGTATTTTTTATTGAGTTTATTGGGGTGACATGGGTTAATAAAATTACAGAGGTTTCAGGTGTACAATTCTGCAGTGCATCATCTGTATATTGTATTGTATGTTCACAACCCCAGGTCAAGTCTCCTCCATCACCATTTATTCCCCCTTTACCCTCCTCTACCTCCCCACCCCCTCTGGTAAGCACCATAGTGTTGTCTGTGTCTATGAGGTTTTTGTTTGTTTTTGCTTAAACCCTTCACCAAGAAAATGTCATTTCAGAAACAAACCAAACAGTAATTTGATATATTTAGGAGCACAGTCTCTAAAATGAAACCGCAGCTATGTGGTGCGTGCACGGTGTACCCGGCACAGTGCTAGAAGCAAGGGAACGAGCAGTACCGGTGTCCTCGGGAGCGCAGGTCGCCCAGGTCGCCCAGGTGCAGCCCTGCAGAGTGGCCACGTGCTGACCGCGCAGAGGGGACGCATCCCTTCACGGAGGCAGCGACCTGAGCGGGGAAGGCAGCCCACGTCGCTCTGCCTCGGTCCAGTCTCAGGACTCAGGGAAGCAAAGGCAGGCATCAGAATGCTGAACCGGCGACACTTACCTTAGGCCGAGTGTCGACGACGTAAATGAAGTCGCTTCCTGGGTTGGCTTTCCTGATGGCCTGGAGCATCTGCTCGTCCTCCAGGCACCGGGCACTGAAGCCGGACAGGGGCTGGCTGCTCCGGCAGATGGAGGCCTGAGGGGAGAGGCCATGGCAACACAGAGGGTCAGGCCACGTGCACCGAGCCGGCAGGGACCCACTAGCTAGCTGCCCAACAGGACCCCTGGGTGCACGCGTGCCCCTACCCGGGAAATTGGAATGTGCAAGGATGTTCAGATAAGACCCAAATTAGGACATTTAAAGCCATTTAAATCACCTACTTTCCTTTTCGCTGATGTTGATTCATTTTCCTGCTGAAGGTAGAAATCTAAAGTAAATAGTTCTGCTCCTAAAATGTATAGGATACTACTAACAGCAAGACTAGTAAATATATATATATATATATATATATATATATATATATATATTTTTTTTTTAAGATGCTTTCTGTCATATTTTACTAGCCCGTTTAGAAACATCACAAATACCCCAAATCAAGCTGAATCCCCAATGTCACTGTGAGGAAAGCCCACGCCCGAGGCATGGGCACCCGAGGGCGGCAGGCACACACCTAGGCTGACCCACGCGCGTTAGAAACAAGGGGTTTCTTTGGACCCAATCTGCATTCTATTCTGCAACTTCCCTGTTCCGAAACTCTAACAGTATGTTGTACTGTTAGACAAGACAGACAACAGCATGAACACTTCCCCGCGTTATTAACAGGCGAGTATAGGAACAACCTCACAGCTAAAAAACGTATACTTCTGTGGCCAAGTACCTTTTATGGATTTAGATTTTATTTTAATATTTACGTTAAACTCAAACCACCAAGTACAATCAACACCGGAATGACTCAAAGAATCTGCATGGAGGGCGCGAGCCCGGGGGCGCGGGCCGGCAGTGAAGCTCGGTGGGAAGGGAGAGCCCTCCTGCTCTGTGCGGGCTCAGCCGGGCACCTTTCTGCCAACAGTCCTGGCAGAGCCTGGGCCGGGCTGCACTGCAGGGCTCTCTCCAGGAAAAGATCCCAGCTGAGTCCAAGCACAGCTTAACTGTCCCCAGCGCTCAACCCAGGACAGGTCAGCTAGGGTTTCATTTCTGCATGAGAAGGCGAGCTCTGGCCCCGCATTAGAGAAGGCAGGGATGTTTCTCATTAGCTACACCAGCCTTGGGCCGAGGACCTTGTGACAGGACGGAGCAGCCCAGAGCAGCTGGCCACAGAAGCGGGCCGCTGTCTGAGGGTTCGGCCCGTTCTGTCACAGAGAGGGGAGCCGGCGGAATGGCTCCAGGATCTCGGGCCTGCAGTCAGGGGCAGAATTCAGGAGGGCAGGGCAGGGCAGGGTGACAAGGCAAGTGAGGGACTAGCAGAGTTGCTCCAGGCTTAATTCTTGATCCTTGGCAGCAAAAGTCCAACTGCCCCGTGGAGGAGAAAAGGACCCGAGGGTCTGAACATGGGTGAGAGGACAGCCTGGGAGGGGGAGGGCCAGGAGAAAAGCAAACTGAGGGTCGGGACCCAACAGGGCTGGAAACAAAAGGCAAGCTCTGCCCAGTGGATGGACAGCCGGTCCCCGCACCTGGTTCTCAGGGAGCTTCGCGCTCCGTCTGCGGCCTGGCCCTGCTCACCCTCAGAGGGACGGGGCTGCCCTGCTCCGAGGGGATTCTGGCTGCAGAGAACCCGAGCTGGGTTTATCTGATGCTGGATCCAGGTCAGAACGACTATGCAGGACAGCTACCACCGGGCAATTTCTCAGATGCCATCAGAAGAGTTGGATGGGGAAGGGAGCATAGTTAACAGATGAGAATTTGTCTGGAATGCACACAGCACACCTAAACTCACTTAGCTAGTGGGGCTGTAGTGACGAAATGAAGCCAGTAAGTGACAACTATTACCAACTACCTTTAACCTGAGAACCACTAGTTTTGGGGGTTTTTTTCCAATTTTTATTAATTTATTTTTGTTACAGATGTTTCTCCTTTTTCCTCCCTAGACATCCTCCTCCCCATCCTGCCGACCCCCCCCCCCAGCATTGCTGTCTGTGTCCACTGGTTGTGCATATATGCTTATACGTCCTTTGTTTTTAGTTTATCTTTATTGTTGAAAGTGTTACAGATGTTCCCCCTTTTACCCCCAGTCACTCCCTTCTCCTCCCACCGCCGGACCCCGCAGCCTTCACCACCCCGTTGTCTGTCCACTGGTCATGCACACGTGCATATACGTTCTCTGGTGTATCTCTTCCCGCCTCCCCTCCCTGCCTCCCTGCCTCTGGATCCATTTGTCCGTCAGTTTATTTTGAGAACAGCTAGTTTTAAGTGAAGGGGTAAGTCAGAACAGAGTTATACTATGAAATGTGGTCAATAAATTAAAGCAGATCTATTAGACTACATTTTAATATTTCACATTGCATTTTCTTAACACTCTAAAGACAGGCTCCGAATCGAATTCTCACTGACTGACTGCCCGCATGTGGTTGTCGACTTGTGCAGGGCAGGGAGGAGCCTCGAAGGCCTCTGTCCACCCTGCGATACCCCGACAGCCCGAGTGTGGAGGGAACACTGTGACCTGGCAGTTCTTCCTGATAAAACTCCTCACGGTAAACTGTCGTGGGAGCCGCTCGTGTAAGTGCTACCAATTATCCAGAGCCAGCATTTTGAAGTGTTTACTATGTGGTGCGCATTATTACAAAAACTGTTTGCATTCTTCTTTAATCTTCCCTTCTGCCATATACGGTAAGATCTGTTCTGTAGATGAGGCAACCAAGGCACAGAGAGGTGATGTAACCTGCTTAAGGTCACACAGCTGGTATCTGGGGAAGCTGGGAAAGGAACCCAGGGAAGAAAATTTCCTGATCCTGGATTATTAACCACAATAATACAGCGCCACAAACAGAAATAAATCAGGAGACATGACAGGGAATTAAGATGCCACATTCAAGAAGACTTGGCTTTTAATGCCAGGATTTGCTCACTTGCTTTAGGACCTTGGTTTGTTTACCTACCATTTCAGAACTTTGGTTTTCTCATCTATGATACCGGGACAATAATACCCAAACTACTGGATGTGGTGAGGTCTAAAACATGCCTAGAACTATACCTAACACATAGATTTCAATAATTTACTATATTGTCTGTATTTTTCTAAGGAAATTGCCTCTTTGGAAATCTTGCAGAGTTTGGTTTCCCAGAGATCTGTACTATGGTTTTGGGAAACCATGTTATTAACCAAAACTGCTCTGTTAAAAGCAGTTTTAAACGTTTAATAAGACATAACAAAGGACACAGTAATTCTAATGGCTTGTAAATAAACACCCCAGCCTTCCAAACACAAGTGAGCTTTGTATGTCGCTCGCCATGATCTACAAAGCCGCCAATAATGTGATGTCCGAAGGAAGTTCTGGATAGCACGACATGATCTGCGTGGTTAAGGCCTAAACTGAAGAGCATGTGCTGCCTTGACATCGGGTAAAACCCTCGTTTTACCTCCAAGGACTAACAGCGAGTCCCCCACACTGTGCTCTCCTGGATAAAGATTCTTCTCCCACAGACCAGGCACAGTTCCTGCTCATCCCAGGCAGAGGGTTTTGGTTCCCTGCCAGCCCGTGGAGTTCCTCAGACAAGCCAATCACATCCTTCCGGGGGACCCAGGGGTCACCTCATCCACGAGGTACTAGAAGGCCTGCCTTCCAGGATCCCTGTGGTTCTCAGTCTGCTCCTGAGAGCGGCTCAGCGGCCCTGCCTGGTGGGCAGTGTCCTCCACCCCGGGCAGTGAGTACGAGTAACTGATACACTGCCCAGTGCCGGTGCCACGTGCTCAGCCGTCCCACTAACGCTGCGGTGGGATTCCTAACCTCACCGAAATGTGAACAGGAAGTGATTAAAATACAACGTATGATCAAAGCTGACCTCAAGAGAATCATGCTCCACCAGCAGGGGCATTGATTTCAAGAAGACTTCTGGTTCATGAAATGATGTGCCGTTTCGGCTTCTCTTAATCTAATCATCACCCACTACCCAACACTAGTCATCTTACCATCAAAACCCTCAGTGTGCCTTTGGTAACCCAGAGATAGGTGGGGGAAAGTATTTTAACTAAAAAACATGCTATTCTTATTCACAAGTATAAGTTCTGTTGGGGCAGGAATACCTACGCAAATGCCTGAAATCACAACATGGAAGAAAGAAAACCCAGCAAATGTATGTCACGTGTACCTGTTTACTTTCTGTGGAAGACTGCCTGGTTCAGGTGTGTTCTACTGAGCACTGACCACAAAGGAACACTGCTTTGACATGTCACGCGTCTTCCCGTGAACCACAGAAATCCACCTTCAGTGATAATATTTCCCTTTGTAAAAATCCCTAGTCATAGCAGAAGCATTTACGTAATTAACCTTGATAGTAAAACCTACACATTTTTATAAAACACAAATGTGATCATTATTCCACCTGCAGTATAGATTCTTGTCCATGGGGAGGAGAGCGGGGATGTGTGCTCATTAAGTAATTCCGGGGAAACCCAGAGCATTCAGCAATGAAACACATCTCTGCTCTGTACTTGTGGGAAGAGCTGAAACTTCAAGTACTGGCTGCTTCCAATTTGTTTAATGCAGGAAATCGACGACTTTAGACTAGAACCGACTGCGGTGTGAGTTCACTTGCAGGCCTGGGTGTCAGATAAAGAAAAGCACACGAGGGCATCCGTGGGGTGACAAGGGGCTAAGGTGGCAGGTGGAGAAGCTGAGCTCTGCGGCCTAACTGCTAAAAACCCGATCCTATTCTGAGACATCACACACTTGCCCTTTACCATCCTCACACACACAAGAAAACCCTTCTCAAGACAGAACACATGAGGCAGGACAGCACTCTGTGCACCCCACCTCCTCACAAGGAGAGAATCGGACCCCTTCTCTTCATCCACGGGCGCTACGAGGAGGTAAACGCTGCCGGCGTTCTCGTTTCAAGTACAACGGCATGAAATTCCCTAGTCATCTATCATTTTTTTAAAAAGAGGGAGTTCACATCTTCCTTTGCCTCTCACCAGTGCTCCAGTTCTGTGTAGGTTGACATCTATTTGGAGTCAAGTAATACAGACATTAATAAAGTGTTTGCCTTCTTCAGACCCCGTTTCAGAGCATAAGTGTGTCTGGCCTTTCAACGAACCGGACTTGAAGCTAAATGGAGGTTTGCCTTTGAGGCAGGCCACACCGAGGCCTTTGCTCTCTCGGAGGTTGAAGGAAATTTGGAAGCCTTCTTTTAGACTCTGACACAGACACTGCCCTGCTCCCTGCCTGCAGGTGCACGTGTGCCAGACACACTCACACACCTGCTGGAACTGTCTGTGGCCTCCCCTGGCGCTGAACCCAAAGCCACATTATCTAGCTGGAAACCCAACTTTTGCACCTGGCTAAAGTCAAATAGTGAAGATCATTCTTGTCTTCCCAAACGTGTTTTCTTGTCCTCCGCAGAAATGAAACTACAGTTTTTAATTGTTCACATAAGACTGTATTTTCTCATTTATCCTGCGCAGTTCTGACCCATGGATGTGAGCAAAAGTGTCGTGTGAGTTTCAGAAACCTTCCCCAAAAAGCCGTGAACGCACCACGTGGAGGCGATGGCTGGTACTAACGTCTTCCCCACACCACGCAAGGAGGGCCACGCCTAGGATGGCAGACCGGACACGTGCAAGGGGCTTGGGTCCCGACAGGTGAGTGATGGGCCAGGCCACCAGGCCTGGACTGCCCACCTTTGGAGTTTTATGTGAGAAAAAATATAGTTCTGTCCTGTTTAAGCCACTGTTGTGTGGTTCTGTTAGTGGCAGACAAACCTAATTCTATAGGTCTGTCTCCATAAACAGAGATTTCTTATGCGGAGGATACTCCAAAAATGCCATTAAAAGAAAGGAGGAACCCTGGCCGGTTTTGCTCAGTGGTTAGAGCATCAGCCTGCAGACCAAAGAGTCACGGGTTCGATTCCGGTCAAGGGCACGGACCTCGGTTGCAATTCTTCCCTGGCCCTGGTCAAAGTCGTGCAGGAGGCAGCCACTCAAAATGCCCCTTTCATGTCAGTTTCTCTCTCCCTCTTCCTCTCTCTCCCTGCCACTCGATCTGAACAAAAATGGGGGAAAAAAATGTCCCCAGGTAAGGATTTTAAAAAAAAGAAAGGAGGAAGAAGGTGCCATGGATTTGGGGGGCTTTCCAAAAGTAGGCACAGCAAAGGATCTATGCGAACAGGCAGAGTGCCTCCCCACCACTCACCTGGACGGTTAAGTTTACCTATCTTCTGACTCTGTCGCATTACTCTGTCGTCAACTGCGTGCAAAAGGTCAACTTCTCCACGAGCGAAGGTTCGAGCACGCGGCGCTGTCGTACACACAGCAACACCCACCCGTCTCTCGGAAGGACCGCGCGCGCAGAGGACTGCTAGGAAAGCGGCGCACGAGCCAGGCCACACCGAAGCCTCGGCACTTACGTGGTTGTCTCTGCGGTAGTAAGAGAGGGCAGGAAACCGCCGTCTGCTCCGGAACTTGGAACTCCCCAGTATGATGTGCGCCGTGGCCGCTCTGGGAACGTACAGTTCGGTGGGGTAAGAATCACAGACCTGCCACGGAAAACACGGCGACGTTCAGGCTCTGCGACCTGCCACAGGAAGTGCCCTTCACCAGGCTTACAGGTGGCAAGGCCACGTTTTCGTAACCAAGTCCCGCAGGAGGCTATTTTGAGGAAAACCAAAGCCACTTCAAAAAAATGAAGGGCTGCTGAGTCTATGAAATCAGATGAGATACTCCTGAAACCCTGCCTTGCACACTGTCCTTTCTAAGGGCTCCCTGTGGGAGGCAAGACAGTGGCAAATGAGCAGTTCTTTCAGCAAAAAGGGACACGTCGCGGTCCTGCATCCTGGTTGCATCCCGTCCCCGAAATGCCAGCACCACCAGCAGAGTCCCCAGGTCTCCTTTCTGTCCCCGGCACACACTGTGTGCACGCCTGCCTCTGAGCCCTCCTTGGATACTCCTTCCCTCGACCTCCCCAAACCTCACCCAAATCCACCTCCTTCAGGCCGCCTCCTGTGAATTTCTGGATCCGACTTCCTACCACGCAATACAAAAGCTTTATTTTTGTTTCCCATGTGTCAATTTTACACGTGGTAGAAATCATCCGCGGTCACCCTGCACCCCTGGCAGTGATTCCCGCAGCGCAAACTGCCACCTTAAAATGATCTTGCAGTTTAGTCGGAAATCAGCACTTCAGAACCTGGCTCTGACCTGCCCACTTCATGACCTTCAGGAAGTCAAACTACACTGAGCACTTTGGTTTCTGATCTCTAAAACGGATATGATACAGAAACAGTATCCCCCAGAGCTGGTATAAGGATGAAATCAGGTAACTCCGTGACCAAGGGCTTTATAAACCATTAGGTCGGACATAGTGTTAGTGGTGGCAACAGTAACAGCAGATTTGTTGCCAGACACATTTTGCTTTGACATCAGTCCGTCTCTTTGCAGTATGAAGACAGTGCAGATGGCAGTTCCCCGGGCTTCACTGGAGCCCAGGAAAGTCAAGCATCTTCTTGGGTGTTTCAAGAGGATTCCTCGAGCCAGTAAAGCAACAGTGGAAATGCTTTATCTGCATGTCCTCTGTCCATCGTCACCCACCTTCCACTCTGGACAGATGGACTAAAGGGAATAAAAAGCCACCCTAAGTGAGATTCAAGCCTGCGAGCTCATACAGTCTCCGTGACGATGCCCCCTGTGCCCGCATGTCTCTGTCACCAGACTGGCGAACATCGAGCAGGAGGAAAAAAAGGGTCTGAAATGTAATTTCAGCAGTTCTGTGAAAGACGTTTTAGGGAAGATTCCCAGACTTTAATGTGGGCTCTGGCACGGATGCTCTGGAGGAAAACCCCGTTTCAAGAACAGATGGCCCAGCCCACTTGGACCCAGACAGCTTTTACTGGGACCTCGGCCACAAGACTTCCTTCCCTGTGCAGAGCTGGTGTCTGACCCTCCCTTAGTCAGTGAGCAAAGACATTACGACACAGACCACACCTGCTTGTCTGAGGATCTAGAGACATGTAGTCATTGCATCTGACCAACAATATTTTCTTAAAATAAGTTTTGAAAGGGAAATTGGTAAGTTTTCAGTAAGTTGGGAATTACCTACTTTCTTCCTTACAACAACACTGAAGAATTGCAAAGTTTTTATGATTACATGAAATAAGAACAAGGAAGTGATGGGTGAGATGCCTCAGCATGCCTACTGCATCCAGCCTGTCTGAGTAGCAAGAGGGGAGCTAGGAGCTCCGGAGCTTCTGCCAGGGCCTGATGCCCAGCATGGGCCAGGGCCGGCCCTGATGTGCACCGTACCTGGGAAGGCACCCAGAGAGAAGACAGATACCCAGAGCCCACTCCCCTTGATACCCTCAGCCCCGCCCTACTTAGGGACCCGACTGATGGCCATCCACTCAGGGTCTTCTTTCTTCACAAGGAGAGGAAGCTCCTGGACTCTCTCTCCAGAGTGGGAAGAGGCAGACCTCTGCGGGCCGGGTACGGGGACCAGAGGCTCAACAACAGTGGTCAGGCTTGCACCAGCCTCATGGCTCCCCTCCAAGAACATAGATAGCACTGCCCGTCACGGGCGCTTGCTCTCCTGCACTGGGTCTGGGGGGAGACTCCACGGGTCTGAGCTTGGATATGGGGCATTCCGACAAGCACTTGCATCGGAAGCTCTGACTGAAGCCAAAACACCTTTGGAAAAAAGTCAGACCCAAGGTGCCAGTTCACTCGGGTTTAAAGATAGAGCTTCCTAACCAAGCTGGGGAGAGTACATGTTTCCTTTGTTCATGAAAGCAGTGCTTTTCGGTGGAAATTAAAACAACACGCCTGGATGGCACTGACTACCGTCATTGTTGCAATGAGCTCACACAGACATAGTCAAAATTCTGAAAACGAATAATGCACTGCAGTCTATGCTACCAAATTCTGAAACTATCAGTGCAGCTCCCGAAACTCTGTCGGGCTTGGAAAATCACACACAAATTAGGAGAGATTATGAGAAGTTCAGAAAAATGGAAAATGGTTTTCTTTTTAATTTTCTTTACACTGACTGCCTTGGCCAATGAAAGTGGATTCAGTTAAAAGGCTTCCCGCACAATTTTTTTTTTTTATTAATAAGGAAATGATTTTCTTTGTCCCCTACCACATTAATTAGTACCACATTAATTAGTACCACATTAACTACTGCCTGGAGTGCTGCACGTCTTCGCTGGCCTTGCCGAGGGGTCTTTTTGGTCATTCTTTCACTCACCAGACACGTGTTACTGAATACTTACCATGTGCCTACAGTATGTCAGGTGCTAGGGCAGTAACAAATACAAGTGTTGTTGATTTCAAGGCCTGACCTTTGTTGGCCTGATTGTCACCTTCCAGTAAATGTATTTTCCATGGCAAGACAAGATCCATCTGAGATGCCACCAAGGCATCTTAATCAGATCTCTGTATTTACTGAGGATGAATCACTCAATTGAGTACTTTTTTTTAAAATCCTCACCTAAGGATGTTTTTCTATTTATCTTCAGATAGTGTGGGAGGGAGGGAGGGAGGATTGAAGGGAGGGAGGGGGAGACAGAGAGAGAGGGAAGCATCCATGCGAGAGGGACACACTGATTGGCTGCCACCCACACAACCCCGACCAAGGCGAGGACAAACCGCAACCGAGGTGCGTGCCCTTGACCAGAATCGAACCCGCGACTCCTTGGTCCATGGGTTGATGCTTTAATCGCTGAGCCAAACTGGCCAGGGCTCAATGGAGCACTTTGAGGTAAGAGTTGGTTGTCAGGAACTGAGATGTATCTACTGAGATGTATTTCTTCTTCAACATATAGGACCTAAAATTTATTTCAAGAAATTTATGATGTAATAGGAAGAAGAAGAAGAATATGAGCAGCATTAAATGATTTATATATAAATAAAATAATAACACATAAAACATAGCTGTAGAGAACTAAAATAAACAAGATTTTTTTTTAATTACTATTTTAGATTATACTTTAAATTTTACTCTGAGAAATAAATTAAAATTTTAACCTAGTTAGTACTGAATGTCAATTATGTTATTTATATAAAGATAATTTCAGCAGTTGGGTACAAAAGAAAGTCTTACTTTAGAGAGTTAGACTACCATTCACAGTGTCTCATAAACAAAACCGGGGCAATATTATGATGATAGGGATGATGATGACAATAATGATAGCCTGCCCGAGACCTTGTGAACAGAAAGCGGCCGAATGGGTTCTGGAAGCTGTCCCTGTGTCTGTGTGAGGTGCCATTTCCACCTTGGCAACAGCCTCCTCGCCATCGATGATACCTCCAGCTCCAACGACCTCAAAGAATTTGTGAAAAGAGATAACTCTTGTAAAAGAAGGAAGAAAAGAGTAAACATTTTCTCAACCATGAGTTTAAAAGCCAAAGTAATGGCCTGGCCAGTGTGGCTCAGTGGTTGAGCATTGACCCATGAACCAGGAGGTCACTGGTTCAACTCCCGGTCAGGGCACATGCCCAGGTTGTGGGCCCGATCCCCAGTGGGGGGCATGCAGGAGGCGGCCAAGTGATGTTCTCTCTCATCAATGGAGCATTAGTCAAATATTTTTGAAAGAAGCAACTGTTTTATATTTCTAAATTGGTAATAAATAAAGGTACATCATTTCCCCCCAATTTCAATGATATTTGTAAAATCAGAAAATTCCCTGGGTTTTCACCTTTTCTGTTTCAACACAATGGTGTGTTGTTAGTTTTGGTTTGCTGTGTGCTGCTGTTAAAAAGCAGTGCTAAGTCACTCATGTTTTGCAGTCCCTACGGTGTAGGACTTAAGTGACTAAATCTGAGTCACGTTTGTGGTGCTAATTCCAGAGGAAAATCTCATTGAAAATAGGAAGAACCTGGGTTCCCAAGAAAATATTATTCCACAAAATTTTCTTCCTTACCCAAGGGTGTGTCATATTAAAAAAGAAAATAAAATAAAAAAGAACTTTCAATTCCAATTTTCTTTGGTAACCTTGGGTTTTCCTCTTTTTCATTTCAAGGCTAAAAATTCACTGCCGAGGTTGGCTTCAGCATGAGACCAGCTCTCTGGTCACAGTAGCCAGATACTTTATAATAATTAAAACAACAAGGCCCCAAACGTCTACTTACAGTGTAAGGTTCTGGTTGTTAGATTTAAGTGTAATTATGAAGAAAATTCAGTATCATGAAATCATCCATTCTATCCCAACTAATTTATACATTTGAGACATTCTGAAGAATAATCTAGAAGGACCTGCACTATGGAATATCAAGATTTATTACAGAACTATAACAACCATAATAAATAAAAATGTAATTATTGAAACTATACAGTGCCAAACTGTATTATTAATAAAAAGACAGATATTTTTAAAAGACAATATACTAAACCCTGGCCAGTTTGGCTCAGCGGTTAGAGCATTGGCCCACGGACCGGAGAGGCCCGGGTTCGGTTCCCGCTAGGGGCATGTACCTCGGATGCAGTTTTCCCCGGCCCCAGTTGGGGTTGTGTGGGTGGCAGCCACTTGGTGTGTCTCTCTCGTATCCATGTTTCTTCTCTTCCCTCTCTCCCTCCCGCTTTATCTCAAGATAAATAGAAAAATGTCCTCGGGTGAGGATAAAAAAAAAAAGACAATATACTAAAACACAAGCCAAATAGGAAAGATTGACAACTCAAAACTTCTGAGGATCAAAAGATACGTAGGAACAGTAGAGAAATCTCTTCTGAGAGGAGATAGTTACAACAGCTCTACCTGCTAACAGATTATTATCTAGAATATACGAAGAACTTCTACAAATCAATAAGAAAAAGACAACCTTGTTGAAAGAAGGATCAAATATAAGACAAGGCAATTCACAGGAAGAGTCGACTTGAATCGCCCATGAACACAAGCCCAGACTTGCTAGTGATGAGGGGGTGCAAAAAAAGCCACACTGAGACCCACTGTACACCAATCAGATTGGCACTGTTTTCTAATTTAACTGTATGATTAGTTAATAAACTCATATGGTTATAAAAATGAGGAATCAAAATATCTAATAATTGGGAATACTTAAGTATATTATGGTACATTCATTTGATAAAATGTTATATGGTCATTTGACCGACTGATATGCACGCTATGTAGCAATATAGAAAGGATGAAGAAAATAATCAGGATTCAAAATATGTAACCAGAAATGGCCAATTAACAGGAGGTAAGATATAACTGGTCAGTCAGCACATACAAAGCTACAAATTAAGAAATCAGAGCATGCATATGAAATTAAAATGAGAAATCACTTGTCTCAGTATCAAGTTGTCGAAAGAATTTTTAAGACACGAACTCTTTCCTGGTTAGGGCACCAAGAATCAAGCATTCTCACACACAGCGCTGAGAATGTCTAGAAACTGGCACCGCCTTTCTGCAGTTTTTTGACAATATGCCCAAAAATGCGTATAAACCTCTTGACCTAGAAATTCCAGCTGTAGGAGGCTCTCTTTAAAAAGGGATTTTTTAATGTGGCAAAGATATAGTTACCAGAATGTTCTCACTATGTTATTTAAAATAATGATAAATAATAATCTAAATGTCTACAGAGTGGAACTAGGTAGACTGACTGTGATATAGTCATATGAGGTAATACGGTACAATGTTTAAACAATATAAAATATATTTATTGGCAGGAAAATATGGTATGCCATGCAAAAAAAGGCAGAACACAGCCATGTGTAGCATGATTCCATTTTGTTGTGTGTATTTGAATGGTTCTGTTTCCTCTTCCGTTTCCAATTTAAACAATGAAATACATTACTTACATAAAAAAGTTATTCAACTATGCAGAAGAGAAAAACATCTGAAGGCAAATTTTTAAACTTAATTGAAGAATGTTAGGGCAATAGGACGGTGAGTGTGTTCTCTCTCTCTCTCTCTATTAGATATGTTTTTATTGACTTTTTAGAGAGAGAAGAAGGGAAAGAGAGAGAGAAACATCGACTGGCCACCTCCCACACGCCCCCTACTGGGAATGGAGCCTGCAACCCGGGCATGTGCCCGGACCGGGAACCAAACCGGGACTGCTCAGTCCATGGATGACACTCAATCCACTGAGCCACATCTGCCAGGCTCTTTTTTTTTTTTGGTAAATTCTCTGCAACGTTCTTGCATGACTTTTATTACTTAAAATACGTTTTTTAAATGAATAGGGAGAGCAGTGCGGTGACTGTGGGGGGAAGTGGAGGTGGAAGAGAGCAAAGAGGGGATAAATGGTGATGGAAAAAATAAAATAAAAAATAAAGATGACCAGGGAAACCAGCACTGATTTGTACCCATCATTAGGGAGGACATGGGCTCGATTCTGCCTCTGCTGCTTCCCTTCCTCTCCGTCGTCCCTTCTGCAAGTGGAGACGCCTTTCTCCACAGTTCTCCAGGGAAGGCTCTCGTGACCTTGTGTACCAATCAAGAGTTCATGAGTACAGAGCAGAGCCGGTGCCAAACTGCCATCAGTGTCTCTGTGGCTTCCCCACTCGTCACTCGCTGCACTATAAAAAGACTTGATGGGAGCAGAGGTCCCGGCCGGCTCTCCCACCACATGGCTTGGCCAGTTTCCATCTCCCCCCGTTAGGCAAGAGTGTGGAAGGGATGGTCTCCCAGGTCCCCTTGTTCCAACTTCCTGATTCTAGAAGCAGGTAGGAAATATGGCCAGCAGCAACCGAGGAAGACGTAGAAGTCCATACATTTGTACCTATAAAGAGCTACCAAAACGAAGGGGCTCGGGCAAGGGGCGGGCGAGGCTGTGTGAAACCATGACTGCTCGCTACTGCCCCCACTTACTCTGTAGTCTCTGTTCACATCGCTGAGCTGCCAGTGGTCGTTAGGGAGGCCCATGCGCTTGTACTCCTCACTGAGATCGAGCAGCAGCCAGCCTTGCTCTCTTTCTTCTTTATCCAGCTTGGGGTTGAATGAAAAGCAGTATAACTCCTCATATTTAACTGCAAGAAAAGGGAGAATAAGGCCTCATCAAGTTTAGTCAAAGCCAGAACCGAATCTCTCTAAACCTCTCTGTCGGGCTGGAGCACACCGAGAGGCCAGCCCAGCTCCTCACCCGGGGGGCCCGGGAACACCCACCTCCTCCCAGCAAGGGCAGGAAGACCCGGGACCAGCGGACTCAACTCTGCAGGAGCTTCTCCCGTGTTAGAAACAAGGCTTTCTCCACTGCGCGCTTTCTTTGGAAAGCAAATACACTTTCCAGACCTCATGAAATGTAAAGCATGAATATTAATTAAGAGTGCTTGCATTCATTAGCCGTCAAGTTTATGTCTATGGAGCTTGGGTTTGGGAGGGGCTCTGGGCAGGGGGATGCCCAGGCCGCTGCCACACTTTGAGTCTCACAGTATAAAAAAAGAAAACGGCTGGAGCGCTGTGGGATGTATTTATATGTTTGCACAGAAAACATCTGAACTTTTTATGACCACATAAATGTCATGATTGTACTGCTCATACAATATTTATAGGATTCATTAAAAAAATATCAGTTCACAGTCTGGACCCCGGTCAAGAGGGGCCAGTTGAAGGATGTAAAATGAAATTCTTTCAGTTCTGCCGGGATTGTCTTTGCCTTCTATGCCTGCGAGGAGACCATCCGCCCTCCCCCAGGAAGATCTGGGACTGGTTTTCTCGCTGGTTTCCTGTGTCTCGGGCAGTACCTAGGCCAGCGCTATCCAACAGAAACAAACAGGCCGAGCACATCATTTACAATGTCCCTGTAGCCATTTTCTCTGGCGATGAAAAGGAACAATGATTAATTGTTTCTAATATAATTTTACTAATACAATTTATTTAACCCAATATATCCAAAATATTATCATTTCCACATATACCTAATGTAGAGCGTATTGACTGGTATTTGTACATGTTGTTTGGTACTGTCTTTGAATCCCATGTGTGTTGCACACTCGCCAGCACAGCTCAGTTCCTTCCGGCCACACGCCAGCCAAGCTCGCACAGCCAGGGGCTGCCATGCTGGATGGTGCAGCTCCAAGCACTTCTGGTGATGATAAATCAGGGCTGACAACTCACCAAACCAGACTTGTTCTAATTAGTGCATTAACCCATTTAGTAGGCACCACGATGGGTCTCATCTTACAGGGGGAATCTGAGGCATTGCTGAGGGAGGGTGAGGAATGTTCCCAGGATCACACAGCCAGTCGCTGGGGCGTCTGCACTTGCATCAGGCAATCTGGCTGTTCACCCCATGCTCGTAATCACCCCACACACGACTCCACCAAAGCACATCCTTCTCTCTCCTGCCCAGATGGACACTTTTGTATCTTGTTTTTCCTTGTTCCATATCCTTAAGCATCCTGTTTTTCTCTAATAGATGTCTTTCCCCTCACAGTTTTCTTCGGTCTCACATATGCTCCTCAGTCTGCTGAAGCACTCGGTGTGGACAGTGGAATGCTCCCAAACATGTGTATCCTGAGGCCCTGTAAACAATCTCACACCAACACACAGGCAGCCCGAGATCAAAGCTCGGTGTCCAGTGCAGTGTGATTACTGCAGAGATAACTCATTTACAAAGGAGAAGAAAGACAGGGTTCGTATTTGAACTGCCAGACTTTTCATTAGATGTGCCCTCTTTCTTGGAAAAATGAAGTCTAAAGACCGTGGTGTTTTACTGAGAGAAGCTACGTTCTGTTTCAGTCCCTCCTGATGTCCTATCTCTACATTCAAACTTTAGAATCCGGGTGATTTCAGCAAATGAGAAAATCCACACACACAGACATGCACCCACAAACACAGAGTAGACACCTTCAGGGATAAGTGTTACTTGCAATCTTAGCAGATAGAGCAGACGGCATATAGAATTGAGGTTCTGTTCTGGGAACAGTGGGCTTGGTACTGACACGCCTTTCCCATCTCTAAGTACTATTTTCATGAGTCAGGTTTCCGATGTCATCATGCCGACCGCAAATGCAACTGGGTGAAGATGCCAGAAGAATCTCTGAGAAAGACTCAGTTCCCTGCGTGAAAGCAGAGCTGAGGATAAGGAGTAATATGGAAGTTAAGGTCCCTTTGTTAAACACTTACAAATAGGTTTAAAGGCAGAAGAATCACAGTCTATGACTACTGATAGTGTTCTGTCATTGGCAGGAGGCAAGGAAACTGCATACATTACAGCAAGAATAACTTGTAAGGGGCATTAAGATCACTCTTGAATTGGGAGACATCAGAATGGATTTCCAGGGGAATTCTGAAATTGCTGCTTTCAGTTATTTTTAAGGAAAAGGGTGATCAACCACCCCTCTGGCCGACTTTAAATTCTACACCAGGGCAGACACCTCCGTCTCTGCCAAAGCACAGGCAGCTTCTCCCCAGAGGCGCGCCCAGGAGAAGCCTGCAGCGAGGACGGCCACTCCACTCGGGGAAGTTACAAAGCACCACTAACACTGTCATAAATGTGACAAATATTTCTCATTCACAACATTCTGTTCCCCTCCCCTCCACCTCCTGCAAAATACCACAGACTGTTGAGTAAGTTAAAAAACAAGAGCAGATCTCCAGCCTTTACAGACTCTGAACTGAGAAGAAATATCTGTCTGCTTGGGGAAGGTCAAATCCCTGGTTTGTCACCGCTCTTCACACAGATGTGCTAAGTACTCCAAGGGCTTTTCCCATCACCACGTCTGGGCCACCCGTCCAACATGAAATGTCTTCGTCTGCTGGATGGCAGGTGTCCGCAGGGGGGCAGGAGGGCCTCGGGCCAGGCCCGGCGCCAGGAGGACACGGCCCCTCGGGAAGCAGACACTCAGCGCCTCGGCCTGGACTAAACCGAACGGGCAGCTCTAATGGGGAACTTTTTTCAGGGAGAGTTAAGTGTCAATGATTCTCTATGGATTGCGTTGACCTATTTAAATCATACAATTGCTAAACAAAGGCAGACTTGAAGGTTTTTCTGTCTAGTCAGAAAGAAAGATGGCAGTTTCTCAAATACCACATTCAGTTCAGAATGAACAGCACTCGGGCCATGTTTCTAGAAAAGCCGAATCCGCGTCTCAGGACTCAGGAGGCACAACAAGCACCGCTGCTCATCTGGAACACAGGCGGCACGTGGGCCTGCGGGCACGTCCACGCCCACGCTCCCACCGCCTTGGTCAGCAGACCCCCCTGCCCCCTGTCCCCCTGTCCCCCCGCCCCCTGGAACCGCCAAGCCTGCAGATGGCCTGTCTGCACCCAACCTCAGCTTCTTCCCTCCCACAAGGAAGGAAGAGGCGCTCATTCCCCCGAATCAGAGCCGGTGTACAACAAAGCACGTAGGGAAGAGAGAAAACTAACCCAGCTCGTTCCCCAAGTAGCAGGCTAACAGTTATGAAAACAGAATATTCAGGGGAAAAAATATGGAGACAGTTTCCTCTTATTATAGACTAACTGGGAGGAAAAACAGTAATTTAATATTAAAAATCAAAGGGTAACTTGTAACAATCAATGTAAACACTGAACAATACAATTACATTATTGATTGTTTCCCTTAGACAATTAAAAAAAAAATTGAAAGGAAAAACAAACATGAGTCAGCATCAGCTGAATGGGAAGGGCTGTGAGGGAAGGGAAAAATCATCAGAAGGACAGAAATGTGGGTATTTTAGAACCAAAAGTAACAATTGAAAGCTAAATTGCTCCGGATGGTCTGCTTAATTTGGGCAACTTAAAATAAATGAACTTGAAAACCTTTTAAAAACGGGTTAGAAGATAACACAGCTATTATTGGACTTTTGCATACTTAAAAACAATGAGACCTTTCCTATTTATATTCAACAAACAAGTGTTCAAATTAAACATTCAGAGCGAGGAAGCTAACAAGTAGGGGAAAAGACCCAGTGGACTCAGAGATTAGGATCATCAATGAAAAGGAATTACCATGGTAAACAGTGTTTACAGTAAATACTGCTTACGCCACAGCAGCTGGGACAGACAAAAAACTGTATCAGGCAAATGGCACTGTATCGATGATGTGATTGTAAAAGTCATAATGAACAGCAGAAGAAATGGGGGACTTAGATAACATGAAAAAATAGTTTAGTGAAAATGGGGAAATAAAAGAGATGGTTTAACCGTTAAAGGGCCCACAAACAGAGAGAGGGAAAGATACTGGAGAAAAAGTAACAGCAGGAAGCAGAGGGAGGGGAAGGAGAGAACGGGGGAATGGAAGCCCTCGGAGATATTAACTGGGCTCATTTCATCAGAGCAGTGCACAGCCTGATGAGTACTTTGGATCGAACTTATCTTCTCATTTGGGCCACACCATTATTTATTTTTATCCTCACCCGAGGACATTTTTTGTTTTTTGTTCAGATAGAGTGGGAGAGAGAGAGAAACATCTAAGTGAAAGGGACACATCGAGTGGTTGCCTCCCGCACGAGCCAACCAGGGCCGGGGACAAACTGCAACGGAGTTGGTCTCTCTGGACCGCAGGCCAACGCTCTAACCGCTGAGCCAAACCGGCCAGGGCTGGCTACACCATTATTTTAACCTAAGCTATTTGTTTCTTATGAATCAAGGAACTTACTGAATTTGGCTACATTATTATTATTTTTTTATCCTCACCCGAGGACATTTTTCCATTTTTTGTACAGATAGAGTGGGAGGAAGAGAGAGGAAGAGAGAGAGAGAGAGAGAAACATCGATGCGAAAGGGACACATCGAGTGGCTGCCACCCGCACGACCAACCAGGGCCGGGGACAAACTGCAACCGAGGTACATGCCCTTAGCGGGAACCGAACCCGGGTCTCTCCAGACCACAGGCCGATGCTCTAACCGCTGAGCCAAACTGGCCAGGGCGGCTACATTATTTTTTTACTGCGATCTTTTTATAGTCCAAGACCAAATTCTTACCCATCTTAATTCATAAAAAAGGCAAACCAATGAAATCTTGTCAATTTTTTTTAGTCATTAGATTTACCCGTATTCCAGAAAACCTAATTCAGAGAAGAGAAAATCTAGAGAGCTTTGCAAATATCCCCTTCGTAGGCTTTTGACTTAAATGTTCTCCCAAACATTTCTTCTTTTGTAAAAAAGAAAAGAATATATAAAAAATAAATTGCCCTGATCAGGACCTTGTGGTGAACTGTGTCCAAAAGGGAAACTGAAAATATGTGATTTGTGTTGGTGACTAAGTACAGAGCTATACTGTACCACTAGAATTCAAAGTATACCACACACACACACACACACACACACACACCTCTTCTGATTTATCTGGAGGAGGCTGAAGGTGTATTTTGTGAAAGATCCTTCGATGCTTCTGATAAGCCATCCTTACCCTCAGCCGAGACCCTCTCCACCATTCCCCATCTCCACCCAGATTCAACACCCTGCTTCCAAGGCTATAGGCTGCAATCTGTCTTAATTTTGGCATTGCCTTTAAACTTAAACTCTGAAACTGCTTGGGTTCTATTTCATCTCTCTGTGTTTTATGTAAACTATCATTTCTAATTCCAATATTTCAAAATCTTCCTGGCTTTTTTTTTTTTATCCTCACCTGAGGACAGTTTTCCGTCTTTAGCTCAGATAGAGTGGGAAGGAGGGAGGGAGGGAGAGAGAGAAACATTGATGTGAAAGGGACACATCGAGTGGTTGCTACCCGCACGACCCATCCAGGGCCGGGGACAAACTGCAACCGAGGTATCTGCCCTTAGCGGGAACCAAACCCGGGCCTCTCTGGACCGCAGGCCGTCACTCTAACTGCTGAGCCAAACTGGCCAGGGCAAAATCTTGCTGGCTTTTTAAAACCGTTTAAGATAATGTCTTTAATTCAATTCGTTACTATGGTTTCCTTTTTTGCTCTCTGGCTGTGTCTAATACCTAACTCTCAAAACTTCATTTTTAAGAAAAAGTGGGTATTTTTAAAATAAGGGGAACACAGTGATTTTCCTCCCTGGGGACCTCACAACGTGAGTTCTGGCTTTGCCCTCGTCAGGGGCCAGAGCGCTCACCACCCCTCCCAGTTCCCCAGGCTGTTCCTAACTCCCAGTGATCCGGTCAGAGCACACTCACTGTGCAGTACACCCATCAATCAGCGACACAGAAACTGCTGGCCACACTGTCCTCACATGTTCAGCTGCATGCAACCTAACGTACATCTTCCCAGACCTCTGTTCCAATTATAGTGCTGCCCCCAGAAGTTCAAGTGCTTCTCTGGCTAACTCTGCAGTTCTTTTCGACGCAGTAAAATGGAAAAGCTTCAACCAGCTGCCTTCAAAGAGCAGCAAAGAAAGTCAACATCATCACATTCTGACAGCTCCCTGGCACCGTTTTCATTACCTAACTGTAGCTCTTAGCTGTCTACAGATGATGTGGTCATAGATAAGAAACTGAGGACTCCACCCGATGCCTTGAAGAGTTTATAATCATGCCTCTTGTCCTGAATCACAAAGCATTTAGCAAAGTAACGGTAAGCCCATATCCTATTTCCTTACTAATGAATTCTGGGTACCGCTACCATGGATATGACTTTTATATAAATGACCTTTTTTCACTGTATTCTCCCAAGAAACTTAGACATGTATTTCTTTTCTGCAAAAGAACCCATAGCTCACACAGGCCACACAGGGAGACAACAAACACTTCTGTTGAAGTGCGTAACAGGCTAGAAATCTGAAGCCCCACGATGGTGGATGGAAAAGGAGAGTAATGAGACCGCATGCTTCCCAAAGCAACCAAGCCGCCTTCCCAGGACACTTAAGGAGATTCTGTTTAGGGGATTCAACAGATCCATACTCTGAATATTCACTGATGCTAACAAAGCTTTAGTTATACCAACCTTGGGAAACATACATCACTATTCAAAAGCAACAGACACCAAACCATAAAAGCCCAACCATGGGGAAAACTGCATTCTAATTGTTTAATATAAATGTTTTCCATACGAGACAATTTGCCGGTTTGGCCTTAGGCCTCCATCAAGGTTACTTGATTATCACAGTATCAGGAGGGCATAATTTTAAGATGACTTCACCCTGAAAGGAAAACACACACACTTATAACCCCCCCGACATAAACTGAATACTAAGAATAAAGAAAGGTTCATACAGGAGACGACCCAGGGAGAGATCCTCAAAGGCAAGGACAGTCATTCAGATGTCTCCGCCTCATCCGAGGCCTGGGGTGTGATTCCTGAGACACTGCATAATGCTCAAGCACTAACTACATTTCTTGAATGTGATTTGTGAATTTCTTGCAAGTGGGTCCACATGAAACGCCACGTCCCGCGGCCCTACCTGGCCTCGCGAGGCGCAGCAGAGAGATGTACACATCGTGGCAGTCTCTCTCCTGGGGGATGATGACTTGTAGCAGCTGAAAGTTCTTGCAACGAATAAGCAGATGGCATCCAGTAGCAGTTGTTGCCTGTTTTTCAATGGTGGAAATCTGGCTGTGGAGAATCTACAACCAAAAGTTAACGGGGATAAGCTAGGCACACATGACTGACGAACACGACAGGGAGCGACACGGCTCTCTGAGCCACGCAGAGCCGGCAGCACGCCCCGCCTTCACACAATAAGAACTGAGATGTTTTGGGAAAGACCCCACTGTCTAAATTCACCATTTTATTTTTCAAATGCCGAGCTTTCTGATACCCAGGCTCATTATTTGAACTACTCAGCGTACTTGTTTGTACAAGTGCAGGGAAGGGAACATTTTGGTGGTCAAATAGTGATTGCAGTTAATAGCTAAAATGAAATAAGGTCATGAGAAGTTAGTAAAGGAAATCTTGCAATCAACAAAAGTTAGAGACGACGCCACCGGGAGGGGCCACCACGCTTCTGAATTCCACATGGGAGGCTCAAGTTCAATAGCAACGTGCACTGTGTTCTACGCTGTTGGGGGTCAGGCGGCCTGCAGAGGATATTTATTTGAAAGGAAATCACGCTGACGGGCACTGTTGTTTCAGGAGGGTCTCTGCTCAGTCCTCAGCAGCAGCATCTCATCCTCTAAATCCCTGTCCGGTAAGCAGTACCTGCCACCTCCTGCCAAAACCTAACAGTATCCGTGGACACCGAAAAGGCCAACCTGCAACTCAGCAATTCTGGCTCCGGTCCTTACATCATGGTAAGTGGGCTGTATAAAATAATGGTCTCATAATTAAGAAGCAGAAACACCTGATGATAAGACTCCACCCTAGCTTTCCTTTTCTTTTTTTGTTTTTTACATTATCAGAAAACTGGAGACAACAGAATAAAAGGACTGTAACTGGGGTACGGACATTAAGGAATCTCTACTCAAAAGCTATGACCCAAACCATTTGTATCTCTGGCTATTTCTTGGTCTATCTTTGATGATGGTCAAATAATTAGTGTCAAAAATGAGTACGTAGATGAAGGAGATTTGACTCTGTAGAGAAAAAGGTGAAGTCCACATCCCCGGAACAGACCTCTGAATACCCAAATACCAAGAGCCCACCCAGCTCACCCAGGGACAAAAAAATGCACTTTTCACTTCAAAACAACGAAAAGCCCAAAATAAGGGATGCATACCCATGTTTCCTTTCTTGTGTCAGGCGCATTTTCCACGAATATGACATGAGTAGCCGTCAAATACAAAGTACCTAGGGCTGCTTTTTTGGAAGACATTCGATCTACCAAGCGCACATTCTCCACCTAGGAAAAGCAGTTCAACAGTTATGGTTAAAGTACCAGAGCCAGTGACGAAAACAAATAACAAGTAGGTAATCTTGTACTTAGTCCAAAATACAGTTTTGATCATTCTTCCAATACGAAAAACCAAAATTTGCCCCTTCAGTTAATCAGATCTCAGAATGAATCTGCATATCAAAAGATAAAAATTCACCAATTATTTAAATATAACCTTAAATGCACCACAAAAGATTTACAGACCCTCTTTTTTAAGGTTACCCTTTCTGTGTTTTATTTTTATTTTTAATATTTTTCCTTTATTGATTTGAGAGAGAGAGAGGAAGGGAGAGGGAGAGAGAGACAGAAACATTGATGAGAGAGAACATCGATGGGTCGCCTCCTGCACGCCCCCAGCTGGGGATCAGGCCCACAACCTGGGCATGTGCCCTGACTGGGAATTGAACCAGAGACCTCTTGGTGCATGGGTCAATGCTCAACCACTGAGCCACATTGGCCGGGCCCTTTCTGTGTTTTAAATAGGTCAGTGTTTTCATTTTACTGTAATTATATAATTCTAAGGCAGGAAGTGTGTGCATCCAAGTTCCAAGTTTACACAATAGCTGTGTATGAATTATTTTCTATTGAAAAGAAAATAATGTTCTTTCCTATGTGTTTCTCAGTTGTAGACATTGTCTCAAGGCTGTTTGCTCCCACATAAATGGAGCAGAAAATATAAACATATATCTGGGAGCAAAAAGTATCAGAGAAATGTTCTGCACGTTTACAAGGAAAACCTCCCAAATGAAGATGCTCTAATTTATAATCAAAACTCTCTAATAAATGGAATCTAATAAACGGAATTCTCACCACTGAGCTCATATGAACTGTTAGGAGAGCTTTCTTGGAAACAGTTTTTATCAAGCCAACATTTTCTTATGTGCAAAGCGATTTCAAGGGTGTGTGCATAGGGATCATTTCAATATGAAATGCAATGGGAATGACAAGACAATCCCCATAGGGCAAGTGAAAACTGAAGACAGACACTGGTTCATCTCTCATCCCTCAAGTCAGGATGGTTACTTGCTTCCATGAGGCAGCTTAGGGACTAGAGAATCATATTTGCTCCATTCTTTGGCCCGGTGTAGAAGCTGTAGTCCTTAAGTAATTGGAAAACCCAAGGCTATCAAATGCCCCAGGGAAGACCTAGGTGGGTATCCCACCTCATGACCACTCCTCAGGACAACTCCAAGGACAAACAGCACTCAGGACACCCATCACCTCAGTCCTCTGAGCCCTTAGAACCACACCAGCCTTCCCGGTCCCCTCCCACTTCTTCCCAATTTCCAAGGATCTAAGGAGATGAAGGAAGAACTAGGTATTTAAAATATTTTCTTTGGTCAGACCCTTTGCTCCAGGGTGGCTGCATAGCTCCTGAGGCCTTGTGAATGGCCATGATTCTTAAAAAGATGTTCATTTAAGAACCTATCAGCTTACAGTTTTAAAATGTCTTTCTTCTGTTACTGATATGCTCCACATTCTTTCCATGTGTGTTCATCCCTGGGTCTCGTTTGTAAATGGTCTTCATATCATTAGTTTACTTTCCTATTATGTGATCATCATTTCTTTCTTTCTTTTTTTTTTTTTTTTTTTTTGTGGTACATGCCCCTAGCGGGAACTAAACCCAGGACACTCTGGCCCACAGGTCAACACTCAACCGCTGAGCCAAACTGGCCAGGGCCATTTCTTATATATTCATCAGTATAGTTTATATAGTAAGGTTAGTAGCCAATCTCTTTTATTGGTTCTAATAATTTTTTCAATAGTCACTTGGATCTTCTGAGTAGAGAGGAGTATTTTCTATAATAATTTGTCTCTTCCTTTCCATTATTTATACCTCTTTCTCCCTTGTTTAGTGACATGAATTAGAGCCTTCAAAATAACAATGACAACTGTCAGTCCTGTGTGGCTTTTTGTTTGTTTTTTCATTAACAGCTTTATTGAGATATAATTCACATTCCATACAATTCACCCATTTAAAGGATACTATTCAATGGTTTTGAGTACATCCACAGCATTGTACATATCATCATTCACAAGCATTACCGCAATCCATTTCAAAACACTGTCATTGCCCTCACAATAAAAAACCTTGTACCCATTAGCAGTATCCCCGAACCACCTCACCACCAAGGTACTTATTGTTTCTATGGATTTGCCTATTCTGACCGTTTCCTATAAATGAAATATGTTGCACTTTATACCTGGTTTCTTTAACTTAGCATCATGTTCTCAATCTATGTTTTAATGCAAATTCATCCATTTGGAGAATGCATTAGCACTTCATTTTGTTTTACTGCCAAGTAATAGTCTATTATATGGATATACCACATTTTATTTGTCCATTTGTCAGTTGATAGACAGTTGGGTTGTTTTCACATTTTGGCTGTTGTGAATGTTGCTGCTATGAACATTTTTGTACAAGTGTTTATGAGGACATATGTTTTCATTTCTCTTAGGTGTAAATATATACGTAGAAATAGAATTGCTGGGTCAGATGGTAACTCTTTAACCTTTTCAGGAACTCCCAGACTGTTTTCCAAAGTGGCTGTACCATTTTATATTCCCACCACCAAGTATGGGTTGGTTCTACTTTTTCCACAGAGTTGCCAATACTTGTTATAGTCTCTTTTTGATTACAGCTATTCTACTAGATATGAGAGAGTATTTTGTTGTGATTTTGATTTGCATTTCCCTGATGATTAATGATGTTGAGTATCTTTTCATGTGCACCTTTATTTTTAATGGAAACATTCCCAATATTTCACCACTGAGTTTGATGTTGATATTTTTTTATCACATTGTGGAAGTGATCTATTTTTAGTTTACTAAGAGTTTTGAATTTTGAAAATCAGGAATAAACATTATGACATTTTAATAGTATTTGGATGTATATTTTGCTTTCTAATTTTAGTCCTATGTTATCAATAATAGCAATAGATGTCTTAATCTTCAAAGAAGTCCTAGATCTTGGTATATGACCAACTTGGAATTGGTGTATTGATGTTTTAATATTGCTTACATTTTGTCAGTGATAACTATTTCATTTTGTTTTCACTTGGTCTTTTTTTTTTCATCTATGCTTTTAAGAGAGACTGGCTATTGGTGCTACTTTTATTAGGTGAATTCATCATAGCTACGATTACATCAACTAATTAGAAAGAGTTCAACACACAAATTACTTATTTGAAACAAATACAGATACTTCTTTATACATAATTCTTTAATAATTCTTTCAATTTCTTACATGGTTATAAATCTATTCAATATTTCAATTTCTTACTAAATATGTTGACATCTATTTTATTTACAAATTATCTTCTAATTGCTGATTTTCAAATTCTTATGTTTTAATTCTTATCTGTAGGTAAATGTCTATCTCTTCTCTCACTCCTAATATTATAAATTACGTTCTTACTTTTCTGTGGTTAAGATAGGCAAAGATTTTTCTTCAAAGTAACCAGTCTTAGATTTATTAATTTAATAATTTTTCTCTTGCCTGGCTGGTGTGGCTCAGAGCGTCGACCCATGCACCAAGAGGTCACTGATTCGATTCCTAGTCAGGGCACACGCCCAGTTTGTGGTCCAAATCCCCACTGGGGGTCATGCAGGAGGCGGCCAATCAATGTTCTCTCTCTTCGATGTTTCTCTCTCTCTCTCTCCGTTTCTCTTCCTTTCTCTCTCAAACCAAGAAAAATATTTTTTTTAAAAAATAATAATTTTTCTTTTCTAATTGTTCATTTCTGCCCATGCTTCTTAATAAATGTTTCAACTTCCTTTCCTCAGGGATATCATGTGGTTTTTGTTCCTTTGTTCATTTCTAAACTCTCAGGTTTAATAGTCAGCTCATTAAGTTTTATTCTTTTTGTTTAGCAACAAAGTTTTAAGTCCAATAATTTTCCTCCAAGTAAATCTTTGGCTGCATGTTATGAATTTTGCTTTCAGAATTATCATTCTTAATTTCTAGATGGACTATAACTGGAGTTTTCATTTCTTCTTTGATCCAAAAGTTTTTAAGAAGTCTATTTTTCAATTCCCATGTGATTGGATAATTTTATTTAAACTTTTGTCATTAAACATTCTATTTTAAACTAACTACAACAAAGATATCATGAAAGAGTTGTGGGAAGAGAGAAGCAAGGGGATATATTATTCTTGGAACATGTCTACGGGAAGAAACTAATCTGCATGCTAAAATGTGCCTAACTAAATTAAGCAGAGCTCCAGGGGTGATGTACTAGTTAACAATATCTTAAAAAAATGACATGTAAACCATTTTCCCTGCACTTAGGACTAATGAAACAAAACTTTATTGAGATAATCATATTGAACATATGGTAATATTTTGAGACAAAAATATTTAGCATGAATTCTTCTCCCTATAGAAGTGAAGGAAGCTATACCACTTAGATTAGTTTTAGAAAACCTCAGTAGAGCTGAACAAGGATCTTAGATGGTGGTAGATCAGAATACTTGGTAAGATTTTTTTCCCCCATGTCTTCATGTTACCTCTGGAGACTGCTGCAGAAACATTACATTTCAAATTTTGGGAAGAGTTCTTACAGGTCCCACAGCTGTCAAAAGTAATTTTGAAGTAGAGGACGGGAAAAAGAGACAAAAATAAAAACAATTAGGGAAACGCCAACAGCATGATTTCCCACTGCTGTGTAACATCAAGAGAAATGGGTAATAAGAATGAAAATTCAGTCGTCTAAGAAATTCTGGGAAGATCAGGAGCCCTGCTCAGTTCCACCACATGGTTCACGTTAAGGTAGCCAGACATTCTTGACTGTGACTCTGGAGTCAGTCAACTCGAGATCAAACGCGATAAATCTCAAGAATTTTGCCACCATCTTGAAGACCCACTGGCTCAATAATTCTGCCTCATTGTTCAGCTAACTTAATTCTACCTCATTGACACATATAATAAGCTATATGGTAATAAAGCCTCTTTCATACTAGAAGAG